AGGTCAAACCCAACAGAATGTCTTCCATTCCTACCTGTCATACTTTGCAGAGTCCTCGTCGAATCTTATACAGCAAGTTGAGAGAACGGCGTGATGTCATCGTGCGCCATTTCTTGTGCATTTTGGATTGTGAAGTTCTTGCAGTGGACAACTTGCCACTCAGAGCCACAAGAAGTTTCGGCTGAATGGGATGCCAAATCGGGAAGTCGGAAGGCAAGGTCGCCCGGCCTGCTTACGAAGACCAGGGTTCTTGCAATAAGGTCTGGAGGGCAGGAAAGTGTCATAGTCTATGGGATGTGAGCTGTGTCCATTAACGCCAATGTTAGTTTTGCTTATCAGCAAAAGTAACTCTTCGATCAGCAGCCGTCAGTACTTGACATCAGGTATTTTAACTTACTGAGCCATTTACAACGCAACAAGGTTGTGTATGGTGCACATCTCTCTCCGCACTGCGCCGCTAGCCTCACCCCACCTCGAGAGTACTCCATCTGTTTTGGCTGCTAGTCCTGGACACCACGAGCTCTCACATGCATTCATCGTCAGAAACGAGTTGGGCGAAATCGGGAGGATTACATGTTATTTCTCAAGCTGCTGAAACAAAGCCAAAGTGCCCAGCGCAAGAGACATGTGATGCTGGACAAGAACCATTTTCATCCATTTGCCCGCAGATCTGGTTTCAAATGATAACAGAGAAGCCGTGATAGAAGCTGCCATGTCCGAAGTCTGACGTACCGTCCAAGCAATCCATATCTTACGTTTCTGCGATGAACTTGTTTCTAGTGGCTTGGATACTTAACAAAATTCCGAGTGCCTGGTTATATCATGTCCAAAATGGGGGATTTGAAAGCTCTCTGAACCGACCACGTGCACCTGTATTTCAAATTCACGCCATGTACAGACGTGAATGGACTGAATTTCCCAGAATCCAGACATCCGTATTAGGAACCCTGAGGCTCAACCTCCGCAAGTTTTCTTCTCGCCAGGAGGTACAGCACAGCGAATGACAGCTTGAATGGTAAAGTTGTCGGGGTTTGGACCAGCTGCCGAAGCAATCATGATATTTTCCGACCAATGTCAGTATGACACCTGAGCTGCTCGAGCTCTCACGTCAGTTAGCCGTCTTCTTCTTCTTCTTCTTCTTCTTAAGGAGCTCACCAGCCTCGCTTGGTATTCAAGGCACCTCTGTCAAATCTCTAAAAGAAGGATTGCGTCGACAGCTGCTGCTCTCAAACAAAGCGATCGGAGAACCGGCAAACTATCTAAATTTCCTTGAGAGTAAGAAAGTGGAATCAGCAGACGGTCTATCGAGCTTGTCATCAGTGAGTGAAGGGCCTTCGGATAAGAACCAAGCAAGACTGCTGCAGAGAGAGGCGCTGGATTCGCTCAAAGTCTACTCCATATCCTTCGCTCACAGTCTACTCCATGAATTTTATGCTCGGATTCTGTCAAAGTCTACTCCATATCTGAGCACCTCCAAAATCGGCTGAGCCTCTTAGTTTCCACATCAGACTTCTCAAGTCGCAGCTCAGCGGGGATCTGTACATCGCTCCAATTCGCATTGGAAGCTCCGATGGCTGCCGTGTATGGCTTGCTTTCTTACTCACTCGTCTCTGATCTTCACGACTTTTAATACTCATAGACGTGTACACGATGCTCAGACCTCGCACGTATGAGCTTCGTCTGTACCATGCCATTTCTGCACTGCAACAAGGCAGCGAGATGGAGGAATGACCCCGTGTGTGTGTGACCGTTCTCGTTATGAGAATGATGAGGTCATCTCCAGAGGATGTTCGGTAGAAGCTGTGATTTGGGAATTCGTGAAGCCACTCTTCTGTTAGCTGGCTGGCTGCCTTCGTGTTCTCGTCAGCCACCATAGCTCTGACTTTAATGTCGATTTCTCCGCACATGACATGCACCGGTTCTCGATTTTCGAGATCTTTATTGCCTCAATCCGTGCACCAGCTTCTTACAACTTCATTTTTTTCTCATTTCTACTCCCGGATCCGAACATCTGATTAAACAGAAGCCCGAAGCATGATCACGAAAGTGCGAATCGAGCATATGTGCACCGCCACCACCGACAAGCAGAGCTCAAGGCCTTGCAGTCTCACTATAAGCGTACACGAGCAGCAGTTCTCTGCAACGATGTGACCCAGAATGGGCTGTAAGAACTTTAATCTGATCCAGGTCTCGGTGTTTACGTGCCCATGCCCCGGACCAATGACTGCAGACTCTTCGCGCCTCCGTGGGTAGAGCAGGCAGTCAGGGATGCCGTTTTTGGTGAGCATCAGATCTCATCTGGCACGATCGCAATTCAGCTGCTCTGTATGATAGGGAGTGCACAGGAAAGGTTCTGCAAAAATCCCGTGGCCACCTCACAATTTTCAACTGGAATGGCGACTCACACTGACTGCCATGCCCCAATGTAGGACGCTCAGATCACATCACTGGAAGCTACTGGCGGCAGACAGCTGCTTGGTTGTTTGTGGAAAGGAGAGGTTTATTTATGTGCAATTGCAGAACCTTTCCTGAGCTTCAAGACTTGGTAATATCCCATCTGATTGAATCACCAAGCTGTCTCATAAGTTCTACCTTGCTTTGAGCTGAGCTGTTGCTTGATGTGGAAGGATGCCCTCCAGGCTCTACATGGTCCGTCGTCCATCTCTTCTGTGTTCAGATCTTATGAGAGAGCGATTGGAACTTGGCTACACGGTGATCCCGTGAGAACCTCCCAGCAGCAGGTACCATGCAGTGCATACGGATATAGAAAAGACTCGTCCGGACAGGATCAACTTTGTGGCCTGTGCATATGCACAACTTTCGTGGGAACTTCCAGCACTGGCTTTCGAAAAGGATTCGGTCAACATTCGGTGGTATGTGTAGATATTCTACAGCGACGGAGCAGACGCCATAAAGCAGGGCAGTTGAAGTCAATGAGCCCGATGTGGACGACCCGGGAAGTCGACGACATTCTAATGCTCATCTACATTATTCAGATGTGCAAGTGTAACCAGTAAATACTTGCACTTTTGTGATCACAGTATTCCAGTCAAACCTGCGAGGAAGATTTCTTCCTGCCTATGGTTCCAATATCCGATTGCTGGCTGACCGGATTGGGCGAGACCAAGAACCGACATGCCAGATGTCCAATATGCATGTTCCAACTGATTGCGTCGATTCTCGACATAATCTATCAGACTGGGATTCGACTGATGTGGTAATGACTCGGTTTGGGAGACTCTACATCTCAGCCTCACTAGAAACTCCACATTCTGCGCAATCTGTAAGCTTCCAAGAGTACTCGTACTGTCAAACTGCGCTGCTAGGTGTACTGGATTCGATGGAACTTGACCTTCATACGGATCGATTCGTGGGCATGTTTGGGTTCGGAGCTTCGTGATGCCAAGCGGAGTAGACATCGGGCCCCAAGTACAGCGTTATATTAAAACTCACTGCTTGACTGAGTGCCCCTCATTATCTGAGAGGACACCCCCAGGCGGTCCTCCTTTCAATTCTCCAGACGAATGGTCTTGTGCCTATCCACATTATATTCTCCAAGAGTATGCACCATAGATATATGCAATCCCATTTGGTGATGTGGCGTTTATCACATACATTCAAACTGACACGAGAAGACAAGGCCCATTGGTGTTTCACAAGCTGCGGCGCTTCCATTCAATAGTGACCTCTCAGTGTGCCATAGTGACCTCTCAGTGTGCCAGACGGGTTCTTGTCACCATCACTTGAGCACCAGAGTACTGCAATGGGTACCCAATACCCACCCATACCCATGGGTAAATGTGTGGGGCTACTATATATAGGTGGATAATGGATGGATATGACTTACACTTAGCCTTCGGAGTAAGTGTAACCAAAAGGTGTTGGGGTTATGAGTTGAATATATGGACAAGGTGTCATGGATGGATAAGGGTATGGAAAAGTCACCACAGGTGGATACAGTTGACACATCCATGGGTATGTGTAAAGTTTTGAAAACCCAATGCAGGACTCTGTTGAGCACGAACCTACTCTCGTTAACCGGACACAATTATTCACGATCGTTTGTTTGATTGAACTGAAATTAGAACGTGTTGGTTGCTCCCAAATGTAGCTTGAAAGTGCCTCCCTATCAGACACTAGGTTTTCTGGAAGCGAAGAACAAGAAATAGATCTTTTGCAGGGCATGCACATGGTGAATCATCCATCCACTTCAAAACTAGGCTTAACTTAAGGTGTATGAATCGAAACATCGAGACGTCAACCGTGCTACTGACAACGACGGAGCACTCGATAATATATCCACAGTTCACTCACCACTTATTCTTGGTTAGTAAATGGATTTGGCGCGTACGTCATGGGCGAAGCCTCACTGTCCGCATCGTTCTGGCCAATAATTGAAGTACTACGATTGTATCTTAAGGTATGAGAAATTACGTCTTGTTCAGTCTTTCGCTGCATCAGCGCCTACGATTCGGTAGGGTTCCCGGCGACGTGAGTTCACAGATGCAAGGGTGGGAGGGCATTCCTGGTGGGCCTCACAACCCCAAGACACCGGCTGATGAGAGTCTAAGTCTCGCTCAGTCCGCCCAACATGAGCTAGTGTATAGGGCATCAGCTCCGTTTACTGGCTCCACATATCCGCTCTGGATGGTAAAATTTTCCCTACACGGAACTCGTTTCAGAAAACAAGTCGTTCAGTACGTATGGATCAACGTCACAGTATGAGCACCCGTGAACACGATCTGATTGTGGCTGTGATCAATGACCAATCTCCACCTACTCCTTCCTTTCGTTTTTGTATAATTTTTCTTTATTGTGCATCTGACGCTGAGCTCGAGGTACGGCTGAAACTGCAGGCACAACGATGCCGACTGCACACTCTCAAGTGTTAACTCAGTAGAACATATGCCAGGGTCATCTCCTGACGCATCTCTCAGATATCTGAACTATCCCACTGTCCCTGATGCCATTCCAATTACAATAAATCCGAAGATCGTAATGCTGTGGCACCTCCTATCTCGACTCGGTATCCGGCAAAGTAGAAAAATTAGGGAGGAGAAAAACGACCCAATCATACAGACCCGAAATGAACACCAGAATTAAGTTCATTACATATTAAGAATTACGAATTACATATTCACTCTATGAGGAAACTTCGATATTGCAACAGAACTGAGCAACTGCGTCAGGCATCTACATTTCAAATGGACAATCGCTTTGTACTGGTGAGATTAAAACTTACATTTAATTCCTAGTTTGCTATACAAAATGCATTAATAATGAGAACGTGGCCTCTGATACAGTTACATCTTGTGCTGGACAACTCCACAGAGGAGGGCAGTGATGGCAACTCCTGAAAATGCCGAGGATAAGGATGTCAACGAAATGGTACATAAGAAACGGCACCCTCTGAGAGCAGCTTCTACCTATGGGAAGGTAAGCGTCATATCTTTGGAATGCTCGGGTCACCATGTCGACATAATCCTACCACTTGCTATGCATTCGATATCAGTCAGCACACAAACTAAGAGTAACTCACAATTGGATGCCACCATCTTATTTCGAATCAGAGTGCAGACCCCAGACGTAATTAGCTATCCACTGGTCGTCAGGACCATATTTCCCTCTGATCTGAATCAGGAGCCGCGAAATATTCTTCTTCTCAACACCACCCACATTCCCCATTTGGCTTCCGCAAGAAGATCAGCAGGGACCTGCAGCAGAGAACATCGATTATAAAAGGAGGATATTTAACATGCAAACTATAAATCCATAACACTGTCGTCTGGTTACATTCAGAACTCCGTTAATCAAGTCTATCTAGTAAGTCAGTCCTATCAGCAGACTGATTTTTTGCGCTCATATCCTCTAAGTTCGACTGGAGTAGATTCACATACCCGTTGGTGCTCACGCTTTGATTCATCGCAGATCCAGCTCATTTCTAGCTCAAAAGCTTTGTCCTTAGCTTCATCGTGTACATTGTAAATACTGCAACAAAATAAGCTTATTCTTTATTTCTCTCGCCTCGCACAAGGGTGAATAGGGTTTTACAGAGAAATTGGATACTACCTGGTGGCAATCACCGACATAAGACACGAAGATAGAAAAAGTACAACATTCTTCAAATATTGGTCTCCTCTAGAGTGGGTTATACAGCGAGTAACCACAACCCTATTAATACTCACTGACATCTCACCAAGAGAGTACAAAGCTAAAGCAAAGGCAATGCAATCCACGTCTTGGGCAGTGTACTTACATCTTTGCAACAGCAATGACACCCTCTCGACATGTCATTTGGGACAACTTTAGCTTTTCAATCTCTCTGCAGGACATATTTACGGAGGCATTATTCACTAACATGGATTATAGAAAACTAAGTCTTCATATGCAAATTTCCAATGCATCGTACATCAGAGGTGTCTGCTAAACAATAAACAGCTTTTCAAGTAACCCAGACACCATCGAGAGAACAACTCTATTTGCAATTGAAATATACTTAGTTGCATATATGAAGACGTGAGATACTCACGTTTTGGCACTCCCTTTTCCTACTGCAGCACCAAAGTACCGCTGCATGCAGAGAGGGTGAACAGATACGTTCAGAAAACGGAAATGAGCATTTCCGGTTAGTGGCAAATAATGAAATATCTTATCAAATCTCACGATGACACGAAAGATAAGACATTCGTAAAAGATTATAGAAACAGCATTCACAAGTGTATGAGACTCACATAAGCAACACCTGAGGTCTCAATCATGTACAACTGAGGACCATCCCGATCATAACCACCTAGTATGGCGGCCGAACCATATGGCCTGAACAAACGAAGCACTCTTAGAACTGAACCGTGCAATACGTCATCGGGGGTGTTATTGCCTCAGAGCAAAGTTGAGATTTCAGAGAAATTAAAATGCGTTTGCTCATGCTTGCGAAACGAACAGGAACCGCAAGAAACAAAAAAGGTGCTTCCTAGCTGCGCTCCTTAGGAGCAAACGCAAATATACTGACCGGAGCCACCAGTAAAGGGTGCATAGATGCACGTAGTAAGCGACTCTGTCGCAAAGCTCTTTGGTGGGGATTTCTTCACCGTAAAAGCTGCAAACAACGTCCGCGAAACCCGAAGTTCAGAATTCACAAGTACACCTACAGATAGAAACGGACGTACTACATCGACACCCGGAAGAACTTTGTGCGGCTATATAAAAGCAATCAACTGGTCAAGAAACTGTAATTAGCGTTAGACAGTGTTTAGCTGTGACAGTAAACAACAAAGACAGTAAAGGAGCAAACCCCAAGTAATTTCCAGCTTCTGCTCTTGCACAAGTAACAATTTGCCTGCCGTCGGCAGCCAACCCAGCAATAGCCTGCCAAGAAAATCCGATATTGTCTTACAGACAGGTTCTTTCCAGTGTAAGCAAGCCGAGATTCTTCACGTCAGATAATCGACTATTTTATCAAGGAATTGAAACTCAATGGGTATCTACTGCGAAAACTGGAGCTTGAAAGTTTTGAATTTTGAATTTGAATTTTCAATCTCACTTCTTCTTCGAGATTCAAAATTCGAAATTGGAAAAGAAATTCAACCCAAAAATAACCTTTCTCCACGCCCCATTTCGATATGAGTTTGGTTCTCATATCGATCGTGTTTCCTTCTGCGAACCACGCTGTTATCGATGCCCGCTCGAAGCATGAGCCTGTTACTAGACTGACCGGATCCACCATTGGCTCCTTCGTCAGAGGGCACATGAATGACTTCAGCGGCAGGATGAGCTTGGTGGTGTTGACAGTGTTCCTTATGCTCCTAACCCTTCCCCAATACGTCTGATTAGAAGAGTCGGGAAGGTAGGAAGAATCAGGTCGCTTCCTCCTCGCGCTCCTTCCTCAATGCGGCCTCTTCCTTCTCCCGTTTGAAGCTCATCAGCACTTGTCAGTCAAACACTAACCTCGTCGCCAGAGGTTAGTGTTTGAGGCTCGCATCGACCAATGTGGGAATGTGAACGAAAAATGAAGAACGAAAAACTTCTCTCTCTCGTTACGCGAATGCTTATCTCATCTGATCTCCCGTCACATCAACGAGTGCGAGAATGCTGAAGTTGCGTGTCATTTTATACTGTCAATTGGGAGTTGGTGCAAGTGAAAACCCGAGAATAGTTTAAAATGGCATAACCAAATCCGTTATGTCATTTTAAAAATATTCTCACGTTTTAATTCCCACATGTAGGCGCCGTCTGTGCCGATCTGCACGAATTTGAGACGGCTGTCGCTGAACGAGAGAGTGAAGGCTCGATCTGCACGAATTTGAGACGGCTGTCGCTGAACGAGAGAGTGAAGGCTCGAGCATTGGCCGCTTTCAGAATGCGGAAGAGATACGCGGCCCTGATCACGTCGAGGAAGGGCCAGGCTTTGCCGTTCACCAGAATCGTGTCGTCGAAATAAGCCGGGCACCACTGCGGGTGCGCGGGCGACAGCGGCGACCCGAGGTCCGGGAAGTTGATGAACCCATTTGGGGTAGAACTGCTTGTCCTGGATGACCAGCGGGATCTCGTACCGTCCTTCGGGCAGAGAGCCAGGCTCGCATGTGTCACATCGCAAGTGGGACGAGTGCTCACTCTTTCGAATTTCACCAACATTGCCATCCTTGTAAACTCAGCCGCAACTGGTCTCGTCGCCACCATTACCGGCTTGCTGAACGGTCCCGTATCAGTCGCACTGGACCTCATCTTCACCACTGTGGTCGGGGCTCTTACCTCCATTTCTGTGAGTATCTTTCAAGCTCTCATTGGGAGGGTTGTCGAGAGCTGCAATTAACATCACCACAAGTGATAACTCAGGCATAATTATATCTGATTTCTGTTTGATACCCGAAGTAAACTCAGCCGCAACTGGTCTCGTCGCCATCATTACCGGCTTGCTGAACGGTCCCGTATCAGTCGCACTGAACCTCATCTTCACCACTGTGGTCGGGGCTCTTACCTCCATTTCTGTGGTCTGTGGTAATTGCGTGGTAATTGTCAGACAAATTTGAGAAATTTGTCTGACAGCTGCAATTAACATCACCACAAGTGATAACTCAGGCATAATAATATCTGATTTTTGTTTGATACCCGAATTATATTTTATACCCGGCTTCAGAAAACGAGTTTAAAGTTGCCGTCATTGGTTTCATAAAATACTGCTGCGCAGTGAACATGAGCGAGATCTTGTGTTGGATACTTTTGGCTCGGTATGGAATAAAATTAATCTTCTGCGGCATTGTTGCACAAAACTGAACAGTACCTATCTGGGATAATTTCATAGTTATCTTCACTCTACTAATCCTTGTGATGGCTTTCTTGCAGTCTCCATAGAAGTGATCAATACTGGGACAAAATTACATGGAAGATGCTGGACTAGCACGTTATCACAATTCGTTTAGTGATCACTATTCATTTGGAATGCTGTGAGAGACTTCAACCTCATTGTCTAAATGAAAAAGGATATTATCCAGTCATGATAACGGTAATAAATATGAATGATACAAATTTGCTAAATGAGCTTCTGAGTCGAATGCCTGTGGGCGATGGTGAAACAAAAGGGGATCCAATGGATTACATAGTGAATGGTCTCTTGTCTCTGGTGCACCAACAATAATGCAGACGGTTGAAAGGTTCAGCTTTCGTGGCATCTGGTCTTTCTTCTTTCTTAAGAAAACGAGTTCCAGCCCACAGTGCACAATCTGACTCCTCATTGATGCACGTCGACCGCCTAGATGAACCATATATCTTCGTTCATGCACGAAATGGCATAAAACTTAGTTTTATAAAACATTTTATGACAACTGATGAGTATATGTACGCGGCTATTATATCTTGATGGAGAATAGAACTTTGTGCGTGCAAATATTACAAACGAAAACGTCAAAGCTTCAGTTTCGTCTTCGGTATCAATATCCTACAATGTAGATTTAAAATGTGCTATTGTCCCTAGTATCAGAATGTCAAAATACATATCAACATGAAGTGGAAGGAAAGCGGAACCACTTTTTTTGTTCCGATTCGATTTCCTTCTGAGTATCATAATGGAAGATTTGATAAGTTTCACCTGTAACATCAAATATTCTGATACTGTTGTCCAAAGATATAGTTAGATCAGCGGTCTTGGGGGTCTTGGACTTTGAAAGATAGAGAGATCTTGAGCAGAACATGGACAAACTCACGTTCTGCTCAAGATCTCTATCTTTCTAAGTCCAAGAACGCGCGATCCACAGACTTAGGGGAATTATGTCGACGATGCGGATGTACCACTGGAGAACGACCTCAATATCTCCCTTTTTATGTCCAGTGGCAGTTTGATTGACATCAAATGACATGTTTGGACTCTATATAATACCTTCCCGAGTCTTTGTCGGTTGCAACATGCCAACGTACAACCAGAAAAGGGGTTAAAGAGATTTATAATGTAAGACGCCTGAAAAGGGACGCTATCATGTTAAAGCATCTTTCATTGGAAAATCTGACAGGCATTACAACATTCATCTTTCATGGAACCTGTAGTTCCGAATCTTACATGAGTGAATCAGATGGTTGATCTGTCAACGAGTGCATGGCCTATCTTTAGTTCTGCTACACACCTGTTACGTGTAAATCGGAGAACATAGTAATGTAATGCAATGCAAATGAAATTCATCTTATTAAATTCAGCATTCGTAGCGAGGTTGGACGAGAAACGGAGTGTCAAACTTCTATGTATCCGTGTTCACAGCGGTGTTAGATCAAGTATCAGTTGCTTCAAACCACCTAGACAATAAACAGGACCATATTCAATGTACACAAAAAAAAATTTAGCTCGATATTGAGTTCAATAGAGAAGACATTTGATAACCTCGGTGGCAGGTGGTACATGGCGCATAATGTGGCAGGCGCGAACTGCCGGTCATGCAAATCATGGGTTCAGACTGGATCAGTGGAAGAAACACTTCTGAAGGGACTATAATGGAGAGACCTCCATTATCTTCCCTCCAGAAGACACAGAAATCGACTTCACTATATATTGTGAAGCCGACTTGCTACCTTCTAGATCTTAAGCTCACGCAGAATCTCAGTCTTCTAGCTTGTATCCGCAGCTGCAGCGATGATGACGAAGACTGCCGTCCTTCTGGTCGCAGCATTTGCTGTTGTCCTCTCAGCATGGAGCCCAGTGGCTGCCCAACCGAGGGCAATAGTCACAACCACCACCACTCTTAGCCCCGTCGAAACTCTGATCTTCTAGATTCTAAACCACCTTGCACCTGCTGGCCCATCGTCATCAGAAACTTTCAGGCAGTTTACAGGACAAGTAGAGTTGCTTATGAAGAGCACTGTGCTCGATCTCACATCTCAAGTGGGACGAAGGTCCACGTCGATTGCTGGCGGGTGCGGGAGGCTGGGACGAGAAATCGAGTCCGGAATGAAGCAAAGGAATGCGAGGCTGCTACCTCAGCCAGACCGGCCGTGACTACAATCGAAGAAGGGGCGGCCGCTCCAGAGAGTCCCGCAGCCAGGGCGAAGGGAACTGTCAGCCCGTCTGACATACCGATGACCACATCGCGAACGAACTCCCCCGCCGTGAAATGCTTCTCTTCGCTCGTCCTCTGCTGAAGCTGGCCGTACAAAATTTCAACCTTCTTCGACCTCCGTTCGAATTTCGAATTTGCCAGAGTCGTTGTGCCGCCGGAGGTCACCGGCGGCACAACGAAAATTCGAAATTCGGCAAATTCGAAATTCAAGACTCTTAAGTTCGAAACTTAAGAGCAAGAGTTCCAAACCTTGACACTGCTACGGGAGGATGAGATACAAAATCAAAAATAATAAAAATGCCGGGATGAGTTGATGCTGTGCGGAATGCTAATGGGTCAGGACTAAGCAGAGATCACGACTCACAACTGACAGCTCTGTCACGCTGAATTCAGTGTAAACGGCTTTCCGCAGTCAAGCGGAGTACTATCAGCGATGACAGCCCAGGCTGAAATTTACATCAAGATGTTTAAGTCTTGGAAGTCCTCCTTGACCGAGTCGCGCAGGGCCGATAACGTACCAGAAGGTAACCAATATTCTCCAATAGATTCGACAGAAGAGAAAAATGCCGAAATCTGCAGTCCAACGACTAGACGGGAATCGACTTCTGTATTTACGCCAAGGTACTTGATATGGTGAGAGGAAGTTGAATTGCAGATTCAGATCTACGAGCAGCTTCGGGCTCTGGAGAGAGTGGGCAGAGTGGTGGGCGTTATATACTCCTCCCGGGACTTCACGAGGACAAATCGACTTCGGGCTCCGGAGAGAGTGGGCAGAGTGGTGGGCCTTATATACTCCTCCCGGGACTTCACTTCACGAGGACAAATCGACTCTGGAGTCAAAGGATTGCGAAGGCACTAGACACACTCCGAGTCCATCTTCCTCCTCAATCTACATAGAGGACCGTAAGGAGTGTTTGAAGTTACATCCCCTGAGTAATTTATTTTCCCCTTAGTAACTTACTGAACGAGTAATTTATCTTATTGAACGAGTAGTTTCGTATTGGACACTACACTACTCGTTGAATAAGTTAGTGAAAACTAAACGAATCCAAAACTGAAATCTTTTGCGTGTCTTTGTACTTGAATAGATCAAACAGGCTACTCGGGTTGATAATGATATAGAAATGCGGAAGATTGGGTCATCAACTGTGGAACTGGAGGTTTAGGGTTTAGTGAGGGTTTAGGGTTATGTGAGTCAGAATTTATCCAATCTTCTCAAATAGCTAAGATAACTTAATAATTAAGTTTGTGATCATATTAAATTTTATATTTCCTTTCAATCTTTCTTCAACAACACTCACTACCTCATACTCATGATATCAATGGATTTACAAAGTCTTTCATTAAACGATTAGATTTATTAGTAATACTGTTATTAAGGAGTTATAACTTTCTTCCTCGACCTCATACCCATGATATCAATGGATTTACAAAGTCTTTCATTAAACGATTAGATTTATTAGTAATACTGTTATTAAGGAGTTATAACTTTCTTCCTCGACCTCATACCCATGATATCAATGGATTTACAAAGTCTTTCATTAAACGATTAGATTTATTAGTAATACTGTTATTAAAGAGTTATAACTTTCTTCCTCGTCTTCACACTGTCACCCTGGCTAGCTTTAAGAACTGATTCCCATATTTTATTGCACCAAAAAAAATGGTTTTCAAACAGACTAACTGCCATGAATTAGCTAAACATATAATAATCATGGTTTCCAATACTCTACTATGAAAGATCAAGTAAATTATGTAAATTTGAAAATGAAATAAATTTGGATGTGATTAAGTGTATATGATCAAGTAGCTTAAGTTCATTATTATAAAAATTTTTTGAACAAATATTTTCAATGAAAGTATAAAATATTCTTATCAAGCTCCCTTGTGACTTAACATGTGTGCGGTCACACATGAATTCTTCTTCTTTTTTTAACAAAAACTAACGATCCAATTATAAATAAAGAAACCAACTTGATTTAAAGATAGTAAATGTAAAAAAATGTAAATTTTCAAAAAGTGAATAATTGAGTATGAAGAAATAATTAAAAATTCCAACTTGAAGTTACATTTATTGCTCTTTATCTAAAATAAACATGGAAAGCACATTACTAAGGAGGTGGAGGGTTAAACTATTCTTGTACAGGTTTATATTCTCTTTTTGAGAATATTAAACAATGTGTCCATTGTTTTGTACTCTGGCTCTACAACATTTATTAGACCTATTCAATATCTTCTTCAATGCTATATTACTCGCTCCTGCCGGAGTCCAGCGCCAATCCCTATCGATGGAAACAAGCCGCATGGGATTTGCATTTCTATACGGTTAGACAAAGTTACATTCTGAGCCGCTGCCGGAAGTCGCCGATCTAGGTTGCTTTTAATACCAACCGTATCATCGAGTGGTGTTAAAAGCAACCTAGGGATCCAGGATCGGCCACTTCCGCGCAAAACATTTCAAATTTCAAATATCGGGGAGATGTGAGTTACAAAGGACTACCCAGCCAAGACTATATAAACCTTTGAAGCTTTTTTCTTTTCCGTCATTCTTGCGGGAGAGTAGTCCGGGGCCAAGTCCAATCCCCACTTACTACTCCCCACCATTCCACCTCGGGATCTGTTTTCAAGACTTGAGGACATTCAGGTGTTCTAGTGTTGTTAGTTTTACACGAATTTGCTGTCACCATTCGGCGTCTTTGGCCTCGCTCGTGTGAGAATGTGTTTGTGAGAGTTTGATTGTATGTGCATATGAATGGTGACAGCAAATTCGTTGACGAGAAATCGTAATTAGAGGAGAGCTCGTTCGCCATCGAGATCTCGCACGATTCCTGAGCGAGGGGTTTTGATCTCGTGGGCGGAAATGGGCGGAGGCGGAGAGGGATCGGGGATCATGTCTCCCCAACGCGAGACGCAAGGGGGAGAGGAGAGGGCACCGACAGCCACGGAGATGGTTTCTGAAGAAATTTCAGCCGTTTCAAAGATTCAAGTTCAAAGATGAAATGTGATTTTAACTTTGAATTTGAGTTTCAAAACTCAAATTCAAAGTAAAAATTCTATCTCATCCATTGACAGAGTGATTTGAACGGCTATCATCGGGGTCATGCACAACGGGACCTTGATTGAGATCGGTACTCACGAAGAGGTGTTAGAATTGGGCGAAAGAGATACCGACGCAGGGTTGGTGAGGTTACAAGAGGCAGGCTACTACGCACAAGGAGGGAGTCTAGTTCCAGGATTCAAACAGCAATTGAAAGTTGGGTAAGTTCTTCACTCTGTGCTCCGTGAATTAGTTCAGTGTTCGTTTGGATGAGATTACATCCCAGCATGTCAGTCTACTACCGGTGGTCGTACTGGCATGGACTCCTTTCTTATAGTTTTCCTGTTTGACACTGACGGTCGCTGACCATTGTCAAAAGGAGCAATTTGTCAATTCTGTCATGATAGAGCCTTGCTGGTTCGTTGTTGATATCAGAAGAACTATTAAACTCAGCCATGTGTCCCGGAACCATGTGCCGCTCGATCCGACTCATCGACGATCCGTGGGCCTCAAAATTCGTCACGCCTCGAATCAGCTCGTAGCCAGAAATTGAGGGAGCTCCTGGTCTATGGACTCTGAGCAGTCGACCGGATCTTCAAGTGTCCATTCGCCGTGAGATAACTCTGCACAACACTCGGCTAAAATTGGGAGGTGTCGATCTATCTTGAGCCCAAATTGACAGGGTGCGCGAAACTCCTCCCTCGGGTCATAGTCAGAGGCTGCGGGCCACGGGCCACGGACCACGGACCACGGGACGGTGTACCACTTGGGAACACCTCATGGAGTTGTTCTCACGCTAAACCGCAAGCCTTGGGACCGACGGAGCGTCTGTCCGGTCCTGCTCAGGTAGAGACAGAGCGGCATTGGCCTGTTTGGGTACATCCGGCTGGAGTTCCCAAGCAAGAGACTCAGATCGGTACGTCAATCATTACAGCCTCCCTGCTTCGAGTCCCAGCCAAGGGACGGAGCCGCGTCCGAGCCTCGGAACCGAATGTTGTCATCCACTGCGAATCGCGTCCCGTACGAGGTCGCACCCTCCTACCCTACGAGGTGGGGTGAGATCGTGATGGGGGATGAACGGAACAAGGAACGGAAGCGACAAAGATGTGCCTCGAACGTCGACCGAGAGATTAAGACCGAACGGCGGAGCGAGCGAGAGAATATCCCGCGAATCGACCGGAGAGGAGAGGGGGCCAGCGTGGGCTCCACCGGCGGGTGGCAGTGCTCAGAACCTGCAGTACAAGGGAAATCGTACGCCATCGAGATCTCACACGATTCCTGAGCGAGGGGTTTTGATCTCGTGACCGGAAATGGGCGGAGGCGGAGAGGGATCGGGGATCATGTCCTTCCAACGCGAGACGCAAGGGGGAGAGGAGAGGGCACTGACGGCCACGGAGATGGTGCTATTGGAAGATTGGGAAGACGGCGGAGCACGAATATCTGCTGAACAGAGGCTGGCGACAGGCATTTTTCGCGCGAGGGGACAGGGGACAGGGGTCGTCCCTTCCCCCGAACCGTCTCTAACCCCCCTTCCGGAGGAAGGGGGCTTAGAGACGTTCTCCCTTGCCCCTCTCATGGGGCAAAGGAGAACGGGTGAGAGGGGCTTTCATGGCCCCTCTCCCCCTCTCTGAGCTTAGCTCCCACCCTTTTTGAGAGTAGGAGCGACCGAGCATGGCTTTCACGATATAGACCAGGAGGCATTCTTGGACGATCCAATCTGTTCTTCGGGCACAACTCGATGAAATCATCGAGCTTAGCTTTTTGTTCACCTTCGCTCTCGGACTGGAACATGGACTTCGCTCTGAGAAAACCTATCCAGTAATTGCGCCCCTGCCATTCCTCGATCGACTGCCTGACCGGAATTTTTGGCCTCAGTGTCATATCGCTCAGTCACTCAGGAGCAACTGAGCGATATGTCTCAGTGTCATATCGGTCGTGTTTCCTTCTGCGAACCACGCTGTTATCGATGCCCGCTCGCTGTTACTAGAATGACCGGATCCACAACTAGCTCCTTCGTCAGAGGGCACATGAATGACTTCAGCGGCAGGATGAGGTTCGTGGTGTTGAAAGTGTTTCTTATGCTCCTAACCCTTCCCCAATACGTCTGATTAGAAGGGTCGGGAAGGTAGGAAGAATCAAGTCGCTTCCTCCTCGCGCTCCTTCCTCAATGCGGCCTCTTCCTTCTCTCGTTTGAAGCTCGTCAGCCTAAACACTAACCTCTTCGCCAAAGGTTAGTGTTTCAGGCTCGCATCGACCGGTGTGGGAGTGTGAACGAACAATGAAGACAACCAGAAGGACGACTTCTCTCTCTCCTTGCGCGAATTCTGATCTGATCTCCCGTCACATCGACCAGTGCGAGAATGGAAACGAATGATGAACCTGCGTGTCATTTTATACTATCAATTTGGAGTTGGTGTAAGTGAAAACCCGGGAATAGTTTGAAATGTCATAACCGAATCCGTTATGCCATTTTAAAATTATTCCCACGTTTTACAAGTAATAAAATTCCCGCGGTCTATATGCCTGATTTGAACCAACTCTAATTAGAGTTGGTTCAAATCAGGCATATAGACCGATTTGAACCAACTCTATCTCTAATAATTAACTTCAATTACCGTTACCGTTCAATTACTGTTTGAGCCGCTGGTACACTTTACTCATTTTTTTCATTCTCTCCTCCACACTTGTCCCAGTTGTGCACCTGAAACTGTCATTCTCTTCGATCAACTCAATAACCTTCGAGTCTCAAGCCATCCTCTTCAACGATTCATGTGAAGTACTGACTCTTCAGGCGTTCGACTTGACCTCGAACTCTGCACACGATTACTAGATTGTCCACGATTATTGCCCGGTAAGACGATTTGCATGATCAGGAAAGTGAAATGTAGCGCGTTCTTACGTGCTTTTGGCGCCTGGCTCTCATCCATTTCGATTCTTCCTCCGGATTCGGCTGAAGCTAGAGGCCATCAAACTTGTCGACGGTGCAGAACATGGTTGTGAGCTATGTGCAGATGTCGAGAGAATGGACGTCTAAAGTGGTCCGATTTCTAGATGCTGGAGGCGGAAGGTGGACTCAAGATGCTGCAGGCAGAATTCGGAGCGGCCTCATCATGTCATGGTCCTCGTGGTCCAGGTTGTGACAGTGCCATACGTAACCGGGGAACGTGGTGGGATCGAACGTGTAATTGCGGCCAGTCTCTGGGCGCGAAATTCATCAGAATTCTGAGTCTCGTGCCCGGGTAGACGACCACGGTGTCCTTCCAGCCGACTTGAGTGGCGTCCGGAGGCTGCGGGGCCTCAGTGTAGCAGCTGAGGGACTCCGGATATGACAGCAGGAGCGAACACAGGCCACCGTTAAACCGAGTCAGATCGAACGCCTGCTGATGCAGCACGAGGAAGTTGATGAGATGAATGTGGATCGGATGAATGCCGCCCGGAATGAGGTGAATGATATCCCAAATCTCGGTCGTGTAAAGCTTCGGCGTCTCGGTGACAGGATCATCCCAGTGATTCTTATTCAGCAGAAACGTCAGGTCCGGCGGCAGAACCACATCCAAGGTCACATTTCTGTACACCGCCGAGTCTATCCAGGCGGCGGTGCTGGGGGCGGACCCGATGGAAGTAGGAATGACCACACTCTGCGCAGGCAACCCGGGTATGGACTGAACGACATTGAATTTCATGACGTGCCTGGTGCTGGGAGGACTATTGATCGGGTCCCCATCAGGAAACGGGGCCGGAGCAGTATTGTTCAGATACACCGTCGTCCCGACGGGAACGCTTGAGAAGTCCACGAGGACGTCGACTCTGTAAGCAGGAGCCATGGTCAGATTCTGCAGCAGCTGGGGAGCCCACATGTAGCCGCCGTCCGTGCCGATCTGCACGAACTGGAGGCGGCTGTCGCTGAACGAGAGAGTGAAGGCTCGAGCGTTGGCCGCGTTCAGAATGCGGAAGCGGTACACGGCCCCGACCACGTCGAGGAAGGGCCAGGCTTTGCCGTTCACCAGAATCGTGTCGCCGAAATAATCCGGGCACCACTGCGGGTGCGCGGGCGACAGCGGCGACCCGAGGTCCGGGAAGTTGATGGACCCGTTGGGGTAGAACTGCTTGTCCTGGATGACCAGCGGGATCTCGTACCGTCCTTCGGGCAGAGAACCGGGCTCGCCGGATCCCCCGCGGATGAAGTACAGCCCGGCCAGCCCGGATACCACGTTGAGCCGAGTGTAGCCCAGAGTGTGGTCGTGGTACCAGAGAAGGCTCGCCGGCTGCTCGTTCGGGTACGTGTTGTTCGTGGCGATGAAGGTCGGGCCCTTGTCGCCGGCCGCCGTGAACCAGGCCTCCGGGTGCCCGTCGAACTTGCCCTCGGCGTCGGCGCCGTGCAGGTGCACGCTCATCGGCACGCCTCCGTTCGCTGGCGTCGCTCTGTGCAGCGTCTTGTCCACGGTCAGAATGTGCTCCGCGTCGGTGATGTGATTCTCGAACCGAATGAACGAGGCCACATTCCTCCTGGCGTTCAGAGTCGGGCCCGGAGATGTGGCTGTGTCTTGACTCGTCCCGTATCCGTAGAATGTCGTGTTCGGAAGGTCTGGATGGACGCTCTGTAATTGCACACAGCAGCCGCGGGTTAAATTCTGTTCGGATCAATTTACGAAACTCAATCCACGCAACCCGTGACTGGTATTCAATTCTCGGATTCTCGAGAATTCTGCTGCAATCTCAGACTACTATTGGCCAGTCTAAGAATTTCGTAACAGCGCTCATTTGCAAGAATTGTACGACTTTTGCAAGCATGCAGTCGTGCAGAAAGTATTCATCTGATAACATGTCCCCATCTGGAAATCAGCTCCGATTATGCATCCTCTGATGAGAGAGAACGCATGCCTCACTGTACTTGACAAACATAAAACTGGCTCTATCGGAATCCCCTCCGGTACAAGTGAACCATTCAGCTGCATGGACCTTCCACTGTTGTACTTCAGCTGAGTGTTTTGTACCCGGGGTTTCTGGCATAAAGCAGTGCACGCTAAAACTCTGAGAATCCGTACCTGGGAAATCTTGTAAGCACCCAAAGTCAGCTGAGACCCTGTGGAGATGTCGATTTCCACAGGTATAGGCAGTGGCTGCACGAATGGTGTCAGAGTAGGTGACGGAGTCAAGTTTCCGCACCGGGAGTGAACATCCTGAGCCTGAATCACTGATAGTGAGTACAACACCCCGAGAAGACAGGCAAGCTTCAGATGAGAAGCATGGCTAAATCTGAGAGCTGGAGCCTCGGTTCGTCTCGGATTCGTCCCCATGACGGTGATGATTTTGGAACTGCACGTCGAACTGGAATTGAATTGACCACGTGGATTTCACAATGTCTATGTGAATCGTACTCCAGGGTGTACAACTCTGAGTGAGGTAGAAGCTCATCGAATGTCCTTATAAAGGCTCACTCTCATGTTCTCTAGATCGTGCGAGAACGCTCCTACTCTAACCCTCGAAGCAACCGGGATCGTTCTGCAGAAACAGCTGACAGAATTTACTTTTTTCCACTTTTCATGACACAGACCGCAGCGTGGACCACCGGTGCTTGCTCGCCTTGAGAGAATAATTCTTACAAAGTCGAAACAGGATCATGAAAGGGTGCTAGAAAGGAGGAATCCGAACAGACTGACCAACGGTGGATTCTACCTTGCGGAGTCTACTATGACCCTCGCACATAACGATACTTATCTCTAATACGTTTTGAGAGAAATAGTAAAGTCTCTGGATTGTCTCATCAATTGTCTCTGGATCTGGGCTTCCATGCCTCGGAAATCCGAACCCAGAAGTGGGACTCTTCGTGGAGTCTGGCTTCTGCAGTACTCAGCGGTGGTAGATATTGCTTGCATGGACACGCCTGCCTAACTTGAAGCGTCTGAGCTAGGCCTGTATACCAAAGTTTGGACCATATATGTTCTTTTCCAATTATTAGATAAATGTGCCCTTGTCGGACTAGATTATGAGATTGCCATCTTACAGTAGTCTCATGTGGGTCTTTGAAGTGAACTGGAAATACTCCAGTCGACGAGTCCGTGATTAGTGTAGAGAGATTATTTCGATAACTTTATCATCAGATCTCTTGACAAAGTACTTTTTATCTGGTTTTACTGCGTTCCGGCCAAGGTCCCTGCTTCTTGTGTGACGTAATTATGTGTCTCCATGTACGACAGAAAGCATGTGAATGCGTTATCGGTTTGCAAATTCTGAAAACTCATGCAAAAAATCGGGAATCAGGTGGCAGCGACATTTTAGTCCAGCTCAATTCTTTGAGAGGTGACGTAGTAAAATTGTGTGACTTTCAATTGAGAAACTTTTTACGTTATTCGTGCGTGAATAGTCTAAAATTCAGATTGAACTATGCTGCCTTTGCACCCGCCTTTGGGTGAGGGCACATCAAGAGACAAGCAATCTCATCATTATCTCATCATGGAGCTCGCCTTCACGGCCAAAGTCCCTATATTTTTTGGACAAATGACCTTTTGGGTCCCCTGATCTTACTTCATTACATTCCACTGATTCCATGAACCATATCTGCTCCCTCCACCCATTTCTTGGAATGATGTTCTTACATCTAATAGTCCCATGAATGTACATACAAGAACTGCCTGACTGCATTTGCAGTTGAAGTTGACTCGTTCTCTTAAAGCTGAATCAGTTCAATCTGAATAATCAAGTCCACATTATAACTCCTGAACTAAGTTGATCCATTCATAAGCCAACACAAAGTGGACCACAGCTGCCTCTTGACGGTGCGAATTCGCGCGAATCCGGTATGGAGAATAAAGAATCTGGTAGACATCCCGCAATGACTGGACTTCCAGAACCAGAACGGCAACAGGCGACTGCCATCTCTAATGTTGTGTGCCTCGTGTAATATTGAGGATAGAACGTTTCAGACTTATCAGCGAACGAAGAAGTCAAAGCTTAATTCGTGAGCAGCTGCTACTACTTTTATCCCACAGGTCCTTCGTATGTGAACTGCTCGGACAAAATCTAAGCTTCTGGCTGGGATGAAATTCTTCAAAGTGAAATCATCGGAATGTGTCCGGAGAATCTTCCCTGCTGACTATACGCGTATATGAAGTGCTGACAATCAGCCGCATTACTGCGCCCCGTTAAAAAACGTGTCGACGACTTTTAAGGTCATTTTAAGGTCCTCAGATTGAAACATCTTGGAAGCATGCTAGTCGGGGAATAGTGGCCCTATAATCTGAAATATAGTGCCTGTACTGAAATCGCTAGATATGTGAGTCTTCCAAGTTCTCCAACTCAGTGAAAGTTTTGTCTCATTTTTCGTGACACACATGTCTCCGGACGCTTGCTCAGGAAAGACTCAACCCAAGCTCTTTGGTGGTCAAATCCGGTCTGACCAAGAAGGTCCCGTTTATTCTGTAAAAGACTTGGTCTCCATCTAGAGAAATTTCTTTTCATTCAAAGTGGGGCCAGTATCCACTTGTCTCGCTGTTGTTGGAGACTGTATGTCATTGAGTATAGAGAACGCATGTCTTCAGACCGGAAAGCTTCAGCAGTCTTTAACCAGAACTTCATACGATCAGAATATTTTCTTAAGAGTTCAGTCGACATGGTGAAGCAGATCCTCTAACCTGAGCTTTGGGAAACTCAATCATTTGACGTATGCGTAGTTCAAACTGATTGACGCTATGATGAATTTTCTTCTCGTGTACGATTGAATTTAATGCACATCCTTTTTTGATCATTGCCAAGTCAACTTCAAAGGCCCTTTTGGTCTGCATGACATGTGCCTGTAATTAAGCCATGACATGTGCCTTAATTGAGCTTTAACGTTCGTATGCTGATCCTAAGCTGCATGAATTTGATTTGAAGCTTAGTATGTCGGAAGGTGTGTAACAAACTTATATTCTTACGCCTGTTGCGTCTGGCTCTTGAAACGTCGAGGAGTGTAATTGTTGCCAATGAGTCGGCACTGAATGTAAAGTATACCATAAAGATCACTGCGCTGACGTCAACTCCCTTCCAATACGACGAATTGAGAGTGAACAGCATGTCCGAGGCTGGACAGCTGACAAATTGTCCAGGCCTGACCTGACATTGATATGAGACGTTTCTCAGGAAGACTCATGCGCTCGTGGATTGCTCTGAACATTGCGCCGTTTTTCTTCACACAATGATTTGACCTCCAGCTAGTCCTGTACTGATTGGCACCTAAACGATCAGGAACTGCGCTTGGCTGAAGTTCCTGGAGAACGGTATGTACCATAAGACTTCTCCAGATGGTTGAAGAGCAGGAGATAGAGCTGCGAGATAGATACTGGGCTTGAGTACAGGAGGATGATATTCGACAGCAACGGCATGCAGTAAGACTTGATAGTCGTCCCCTAGTGGAGGATATCACCCTGCCATGTTGATCTGAGATACACGCCAAGAACTGTGATGTGTCGGGCACGAAATCTCAGGATCTACGTTAGGTCTACAACTCGCCATACCTTGACAGACCATGCCCAATTGGCTCATAGACTTGAAGGTTGTCACGAAGTAATAAGGGTTACAAAGTCAGCGTGGCTCTCCAGGTCACGATCTCCAGTCTCCAATTTCATCTAGTATGATGAGAAGGATGAATTCTGTGCCTTGTGTGCATGTATCGGCTGGAGCTTTCAGAGAAGCGTGGAGCCTCCCATGCAGCTAAACGACTCTGAAACATTCGTTGCAACTCTGAAGGATTGAATCCTCAGCCTTGCATTCTGCGACCCCAATTGCTCACGTGGGGTTGACGGCCGATTCAATATAGGCTGCTGCTGGACGTTCAGTAGACCTGCCGTGCAATTTTCCACATGCACTTTCCAGAGACCTGGGCAAGGAACCCAAGTCTCTGAAGGTCAAACCCAACAGAATGTCTTCCATTCCTACCTGTCATACTTTGCAGAGTCCTCGTCGAATCTTATACAGCAAGTTGAGAGAACGGCGTGATGTCATCGTGCGCCATTTCTTGTGCATTTTGGATTGTGAAGTTCTTGCAGTGGACAACTTGCCACTCAGAGCCACAAGAAGTTTCGGCTGAATGGGATGCCAAATCGGGAAGTCGGAAGGCAAGGTCGCCCGGCCTGCTTACGAAGACCAGGGTTCTTGCAATAAGGTCTGGAGGGCAGGAAAGTGTCATAGTCTATGGGATGTGAGCTGTGTCCATTAACGCCAATGTTAGTTTTGCTTATCAGCAAAAGTAACTCTTCGATCAGCAGCCGTCAGTACTTGACATCAGGTATTTCAACTTACTGAGCCATTTACAACGCAACAAGGTTGTGTATGGTGCACATCTCTCTCCGCACTGCGCCGCTAGCCTCACCCCACCTCGAGAGTACTCCATCTGTTTTGGCTGCTAGTCCTGGACACCACGAGCTCTCACATGCATTCATCGTCAGAAACGAGTTGGGCGAAATCGGGAGGATTACATGTTATTTCTCAAGCTGCTGAAACAAAGCCAAAGTGCCCAGCGCAAGAGACATGTGATGCTGGACAAGAACCATTTTCATCCATTTGCCCGCAGATCTGGTTTCAAATGATAACAGAGAAGCCGTGATAGAAGCTGCCATGTCCGAAGTCTGACGTACCGTCCAAGCAATCCATATCTTACGTTTCTGCGATGAACTTGTTTCTAGTGGCTTGGATACTTAACAAAATTCCGAGTGCCTGGTTATATCATGTCCAAAATGGGGGATTTGAAAGCTCTCTGAACCGACCACGTGCACCTGTATTTCAAATTCACGCCATGTACAGACGTGAATGGACTGAATTTCCCAGAATCCAGACATCCGTATTAGGAACCCTGAGGCTCAACCTCCGCAAGTTTTCTTCTCGCCAGGAGGTACAGCACAGCGAATGACAGCTTGAATGGTAAAGTTGTCGGGGTTTGGACCAGCTGCCGAAGCAATCATGATATTTTCCGACCAATGTCAGTATGACACCTGAGCTGCTCGAGCTCTCACGTCAGTTAGCCGTCTTCTTCTTCTTCTTCTTCTTCTTAAGGAGCTCACCAGCCTCGCTTGGTATTCAAGGCACCTCTGTCAAATCTCTAAAAGAAGGATTGCGTCGACAGCTGCTGCTCTCAAACAAAGCGATCGGAGAACCGGCAAACTATCTAAATTTCCTTGAGAGTAAGAAAGTGGAATCAGCAGACGGTCTATCGAGCTTGTCATCAGTGAGTGAAGGGCCTTCGGATAAGAACCAAGCAAGACTGCTGCAGAGAGAGGCGCTGGATTCGCTCAAAGTCTACTCCATATCCTTCGCTCACAGTCTACTCCATGAATTTTATGCTCGGATTCTGTCAAAGTCTACTCCATATCTGAGCACCTCCAAAATCGGCTGAGCCTCTTAGTTTCCACATCAGACTTCTCAAGTCGCAGCTCAGCGGGGATCTGTACATCGCTCCAATTCGCATTGGAAGCTCCGATGGCTGCCGTGTATGGCTTGCTTTCTTACTCACTCGTCTCTGATCTTCACGACTTTTAATACTCATAGACGTGTACACGATGCTCAGACCTCGCACGTATGAGCTTCGTCTGTACCATGCCATTTCTGCACTGCAACAAGGCAGCGAGATGGAGGAATGACCCCGTGTGTGTGTGACCGTTCTCGTTATGAGAATGATGAGGTCATCTCCAGAGGATGTTCGGTAGAAGCTGTGATTTGGGAATTCGTGAAGCCACTCTTCTGTTAGCTGGCTGGCTGCCTTCGTGTTCTCGTCAGCCACCATAGCTCTGACTTTAATGTCGATTTCTCCGCACATGACATGCACCGGTTCTCGATTTTCGAGATCTTTATTGCCTCAATCCGTGCACCAGCTTCTTACAACTTCATTTTTTTCTCATTTCTACTCCCGGATCCGAACATCTGATTAAACAGAAGCCCGAAGCATGATCACGAAAGTGCGAATCGAGCATATGTGCACCGCCACCACCGACAAGCAGAGCTCAAGGCCTTGCAGTCTCACTATAAGCGTACACGAGCAGCAGTTCTCTGCAACGATGTGACCCAGAATGGGCTGTAAGAACTTTAATCTGATCCAGGTCTCGGTGTTTACGTGCCCATGCCCCGGACCAATGACTGCAGACTCTTCGCGCCTCCGTGGGTAGAGCAGGCAGTCAGGGATGCCGTTTTTGGTGAGCATCAGATCTCATCTGGCACGATCGCAATTCAGCTGCTCTGTATGATAGGGAGTGCACAGGAAAGGTTCTGCAAAAATCCCGTGGCCACCTCACAATTTTCAACTGGAATGGCGACTCACACTGACTGCCATGCCCCAATGTAGGACGCTCAGATCACATCACTGGAAGCTACTGGCGGCAGACAGCTGCTTGGTTGTTTGTGGAAAGGAGAGGTTTATTTATGTGCAATTGCAGAACCTTTCCTGAGCTTCAAGACTTGGTAATATCCCATCTGATTGAATCACCAAGCTGTCTCATAAGTTCTACCTTGCTTTGAGCTGAGCTGTTGCTTGATGTGGAAGGATGCCCTCCAGGCTCTACATGGTCCGTCGTCCATCTCTTCTGTGTTCAGATCTTATGAGAGAGCGATTGGAACTTGGCTACACGGTGATCCCGTGAGAACCTCCCAGCAGCAGGTACCATGCAGTGCATACGGATATAGAAAAGACTCGTCCGGACAGGATCAACTTTGTGGGAACTTCCACACGAGCTCCTCCAGCACTGGCTTTCGAAAAGGATTCGGTCAACATTCGGTGGTATGTGTAGATATTCTACAGCGACGGAGCAGACGCCATAAAGCAGGGCTGTTGAAGTCAATGAGCCCGATGTGGACGACCCGGGAAGTCGATGACATTCTAATGCTCATCTACATTATTCAGATGTGCAAGTGTAACCAGTAAATACTTGCACTTTTGTGATCACAGTATTCCAGTCAAACCTGCGAGGAAGATTTCTTCCTGCCTATGGTTCCAATATCCGATTGCTGGCTGACCGGATTGGGCGAGACCAAGAACCGACATGCCAGATATCCAATATGCATGTTCCAACTGATTGCGTCGATTCTCGACAAAATCTATCAGACTGGGATTCGACTGATGTGGTAATGACTCGGTTTGGGAGACTCTACATCTCAGCCTCACTAGAAACTCCACATTCTGCGCAATCTGTAAGCTTCCAAGAGTACTCGTACTGTCAAACTGCGCTGCTAGGTGTACTGGATTCGATGGAACTTGACCTTCATACGGATCGATTCGTGGGCATGTTTGGGTTCGGAGCTTCGTGATGCCAAGCGGAGTAGACATCGGGCCCCAAGTACAGCGTTATATTAAAACTCACTGCTTGACTGAGTGCCCCTCATTATCTGAGAGGACACCCCAGGCGGTCCTCCTTTCAATTCTCCAGACGAATGGTCTTGTGCCTATCCACATTATATTCTCCAAGAGTATGCACCATAGATATGTGCAATCCCATTTGGTGATGTGGCGTTTATCACATACATTCAAACTTCACGAGAAGACAAAGCCCATTGGTGCTTCACAAGTTGCGGCGTTTCCATTCAATAGTGACCTCTCAGTGTGCCACACGGGCTCTTGTCACCATCACTTGAGCACCAGAGTCCTGCAATGGGTACCAAATATCCACCGATGGGTAAGTGTGTGGGGCTCTTGTCACCATCATTTGAGCACCAAAGTCTTGCAGTGGATACCCAATATCCATGGGTAAATGTGTGGCGCTCTTGTCACCATCACTTGAGCACCAGAGTACTGCAATGGGTACCAAATATCCACCGATGGGTAAATGTGTGGGGCTCTTGTCACCATCATTTGAGCACCAAAGTCTTGCAGTGGATACCCAATATCCACCCATACCCATGGGTAAATGTGTGGCGCTCTTGTCACCATCACTTGAGCACCAGAGTCTTGCAATGGGTACCAAATATCCACCCATAGGTAAATGTGTGGGGCTCTTGTCACCATCATTTGAACACCAGAGTCTTGCAGTGGGTACCCAATATCCACCCATACCCATGGTTAAATGTGTGGGGCTCTTGTCACCATCACTTGAGTACCAGAGTCCTGCAATGGGTACCCAATATCCACCCATACCCATGGGTAAATGTGTGACGCTCTTGTCACCATCATTTGAGCACCAGAGTCCTACAGTGGGTACCCAATACCCACCCATACCCATGGGTAAATGTGTTGCGCTTCCATTCTATAATGACCTCTCAGTGTTCCATACGGCTCTTGTCACCATCACTTGAGTACCAGAGTCCTGCAGTGGGTACCCAATACCCACCTATACCCATGGGTAAATGTGTGGCGCTTCCATTCTATAGTGACCTCTCAGTGTGCCAGACGGCTCTTGTCACCATCACTTGAGCACCAGAGTAATGCAATGGGTACCCAATACCCACGGGTAAATGTGTGGAGTTACTATACATAGGTGGATGGGTACCCAATACCCACCCATACCCATGGGTAAATGTGTGGAGCTAGGATACATAGGTGGATACTGGATGGATATGACTTAGACTTAGCTCTCGGATTAAGTGTAACCAAAAGGTGGTGGACGTATGAGTTGAGTATGGACAAGGGTATGGAAAAGTTGCCATGGGTGGGTACAGTTGACACACTCATGGGTATGGGTAGAGTTTTGAAACTCAATGCACGACTCAAGGAACTACTCTCGTTAACCGGACACAATTATTCAAGATCGTTTGTTTGATTGAACTGAAATTAGAACTTGTTGGTTGCTCCCAAATGTAGCATGAAAGTGCCTCCCTATCAGACACTAGGTTCTCTGGAAGCGAAGAACAAGAAACAGATCTTTTGCAGGGAATGCACATGGTGAATCATACATCCACTTCAAAACTAGGCTTAACGTAAGGTGTATAAATCGAAACTTCGGGACGTCAACTTTACTACTGATAACGATAGTGCACTCGAAAATATATCCACGGTTCACTCACCATTGGTTCTTAGTTAGTAAATGGGCTTGGCGCTTACGTCATGGGCGAGGCCTCAATGTCCGCATCGGTCTGGCCAATAATTGAATTACTACGATTGTACCTTAAGGTTTGAGAAAATTACGTCTTATTCAGTCTTTCGCTGCATCAGCGCCTACGATTCGGTAGGGTTCCCGGCGACGTGAGTTCACAGATGCAAGGGTGGGAGGGCGTTCCAGGTGCGCCTCACAACCCCAAGGCACCGGCTAATGAGAGTCTAAGTATCGCTCAGTCCGCCCAACATGAACTAGTATGGGGCATCAGCTCCGTTTACAGGCTCCACATATCAGCTCTGGATGGTAAAGTTTCCTACACGGAACTCGTTTCAGAAAAGTCGTTCAGTACATCACCCCATCCACGTCACAGTATGAGCACCCGTGACCACGATCTGATTGTGGCTGAGATCAATGATCGATCTCCACCTACTCCTTCCTTTCGTTTTTGTATAATTTTTCTTTGATGTGCATCTGACGCTGAGCTCGAGGTACGGCTGAAACTGCAGGCACAACGATGCCGACTACACACTCTCAAGTGTTGACTCGGTAGAACATATGCCAGGGTCATCTCCTGACGCATCTCTCAGATATCTGAACTATCCCACTGTCACTGATGCCATTATAATTGCAATAAATGCGAAGATCGTAATGCTGTGGCACCTCCTATCTCGACTCGGTATCCGGCAAAGTAGAAAAATTAGGGAGGAGAAAAAACGACCCAATCATACAGACCCGAATGAACACCAGAAATAAGTTAACATATTCACTCTTTGAAACTTCGATATTGCAACAGAACATGAGCAACTGCGTCAGGCATCTAAATTTCAAATGGACAATCGCTTTGTACTGGTGAGATTAAAACTCACATTTGATTCCTAGTTTGCTATACAAAATGCATTAATGTTGAGAATGTGGCCTCTGATACAGTTACATCTTGTGCTGGACAAATCCACAGAGGAGGGCAGTGATGGCAACTCCTGAAAATGCCGAGGATAAGGATGTCAACGAAATGGTACATAAGAAACGGCACCCTCTGAGAGCAGCTTCTACCTATGGGAAGGTAAGCGTCATATCTTTGGAATGCTCGGGTCACCATGTCGACATAATCCTACCACTTGCTATGCATTCGAGTCAGTCAGCACACAAACTAAGAGTAACTCACAATTGGATGCCACCATCTTATTTCGAATCAGAGTGCAGATCCCAGACGTAATTAGCTATCCACTGGTCGGCAGGACCATATTTCCCTCTGATCTGAATCAGGAGCCGCGAGACATTCTTCTTCTCAACACCACCCAGATTCCACATTACTTTAGTCGGCATCCATGTCTTCTTCTTGGGCCGCTTTCGCAATGGCCTTGGCTTCCGCCAGAAGATCAGCAGGGACCTGCAGCAGAGAACATCGATTATAAAAGGAGGATATTTAACATGCAAACTATAAATCCATAACACTGTCGTCTGGTTACATTCAGGACTCCGTTAATCAAGTCTATCTAGTAAGTCAGTCCTATAAGCAGACTGATTTTTTGCGCTCATATCCTTAAGGTTCGACTGGAGTAGATTCACATACCCGTTGGTGCTCACGCTTTGATTCATCGCAGATCCAGCTCATTTCTAGCTCAAAAGCTTTGTCCTTAGCTTCATCGTGTACATTGTAAATACTGCAACAAAATAAGCTTATTCTTTATTTCTCTCGCCTCGCACAAGGGTGAATAGGGTTTTACAGAGAAATTGGATACTACCTGGTGGCAATCACCGACATAAGACACGAAGATAGAAAAAGTACAACATTCTTCAAATATTGGTCTCCTCTAGAGTGGGTTATACAGCGAGTAACCACAACCCTATTAATACTCACTGACATCTGATGTCTCACCATAAGAGTACAAAGCTAAAGCAAAGGCAATGCAATCCACGTCTTGGGCAGTGTACTTACATCTTTGCAACAGCAATGACACCCTCTCGACATGTCATTTGGGACAACTTTAGCTTTTCAATCTCTCTGCAGGATATGTTTACGGAGGCATTATTCACTAACATGGATTATAGAAAACTAAGTCTTCATATGCAAATTTCCAATGCATCGTACATCAGAGATGTCTGCTAAACAATAAACAGCTTTTCAAGTAACCCAGACACCATCGAGAGACCAACTCTATTTGCAGTTGAAATATACTTAGTTGCATATATGAAGATGTGAGATACTCACGTTTTGGCAGCTTGTCTCCCTTTTCCTACTGCAGCACCAAAGTACCGCTGCATGCAGAGAGGGTGAACAGATACGTTCAGAAAACGGAAATGAGCATTTCCGGTTAGTGGCAAATAATGAAATATCTTATCAAATCTCACGATGACACGAAAGATAAGACATTCGTAAAAGATTATAGAAACAGCATTCACAAGTGTATGAGACTCACATAAGCAACACCTGAGGGCTCAATCATGTACAACTGAGGACCATCCCGATCATAACCACCTAGTATGGCGGCCGAACCATATGGCCTGAACAAACGAAGCACTCTTAGAACTGAACCGTGCAACACGTCATCGGGGGTGTTATTGCCTCAGAGCAAAGTTGAGATTTCAGAGAAATTAGAATGCGTTAGCTCATGCTTGCGAAACGAACAGGAACCGCAAGAAACAAAAATGGTGCTTCCTAGCTGCGCTCCTTAGGAGCAAACGCAAACATACTGACCGGAGCCACCAGTAAAGGGTGCATAGATGCACGTAGTAAGCGACTCTGTCGCAAAGCTCTTTGGTGGGGATTTCTTCACCGTAAAAGCTGCAAACAACGTCCGCGAAACCCGAAGTTCAGAATTCACAAGTACACCTACAGATAGAAACGGACGTACTACATCGACACCCGGAAGAACTTTGTGCGGCTATATAAAAGCAATCAAGTGGTCAAGAAACTGTAACTAGCGTGAGACAGTGTTTAGCTGTGACAGTAAACAACAAAGACCGAGTAAAGGAACAAACCCCAAGTAATTTCCAGCTTCTGCTCTTGCACGAGTAACAATTTGCCTGCCATCGGCAGCCAACCCAGCAATAGCCTGCCAAGAAAATCCGATATTGTCTTACAGACAGGTTCTTTCCAGTGTACGCAAGCCGAGATTCTTCACATCAGATAATCGACTTTTTCATCAAGGAACTGAAACTGAATGGGTATCTACTGCGAACTGAAAAAAACACTGAAGTTCTGGCAATTCAAGGCAATGACAACGGTGGTTGCTGTGCTTATCCATTATCTGTTCAAATGAATGGTACATGCCCCGTGAAACAACTTGCAACATCACTGCCTTACCATCCCCGAGTGACGGTTTACTGAGTGGATTCTCCTGTTGGATCCCTCCAGAAGCATTTTCGATGCAATAAGCTTCTCCACTCCCTGAAGTGAGTAAATGACAACTGTGAGTTCGTGACGAGCGGCCAGTTTCTTACCGACTAGGAGACATGAACTTGACATTGTAGGCAGGAGCACTGAAGTTACGAGAACTAATTGTCCATAATTCAGGAACACGTCCCCATAGAGAACTACAGCCGATGGAATGAGAACGTACCAAAACAATCCCATCCTTGCACTTGATACCCACGACCGTTCTGCCAAGAAACCCGCATAAGCCATGTAAAAAGTCCTCCAAATAATACTTACTGATATTATCTTGAGCTAGAGCAGGACCAAGTTGTTGCCCACATTCTGAGCACTACCTTCAGATCTTGAGGGGATATCAATAGTCCAACAACGTACGTATTATGTCTACTTAATTCACAAAGTCCTCGCGCTTGTCATATCACTCCCGATATATGTATATAGTTGGAAGCAATACAAGCAAGCAACCACACTGTGAAGAAAATGAACTTACAACGCTCACCGCAACGAAAATCTTTCAGTTTGCCCACTTACTATTGTACGGTGGACGAAAAACCAAATTTTCCTACTGTCCTAACCAGGCATTAGCATAAGACACAGGGAAAACTTTGACCAGTCCCCTGTATGGATTTCACGATGGATCGTTCATTGCTTAGACCACAGAATTAGCAAGATTTCGTGCTTGTGACCATCTAGACATTACGACATCGTCGATCGAGACCTGATCAATTTTGAAATGACTATGTATTCAAAAGGGTAGCAAATCAAATCACAGAGACAGGTTCCAAGAAAACCGCTGGCAAGAGAAGGCGTCCGGGAAGTATACTCTAGCTCACTTCATGCACATATGCTTCATACAAGCCGGTACATTTGCGCAGGGTTCAAATTTTAACCTCGATTCGTTTCACTTAATTTTTCATGCAACCACGGAATTAGACCTCAACGCCAAAAACTCGACCGAGTTACGACGTCCAATATGGTGCTCGTACATAGAGCTAGGATGTGACAAACAACAGTGCCAAACATAAGGACAAGGGTTGGGAAAGCGATCGGATAGCGTACCCGCTGTTGTCGATGGCCTTAGTAGCATATTCTATTTGAAAAACTCGCCCATCGGGTGAAAATGTGGTGACCGACAAATCATACTGCGAATCGCACGCTAAATATCAGTCTCAAGCTCACCGGAAACGATCACCTTGAAAGCTGAACGCAGAACGACAGCCTTCCCTACCAAAAATCCTTCAGCTCTAAATTCAATGCAGCCAGATAGGACACTGACACAAGAAGATCGGAAGCAAAGGATTCTCGACCAAAACCAGATAGCACGGAAAATTTGCAAACATACCCCGGTTCCAATGCTACTCATCTTGATGCACTCGTGTCAGCTTGCGCTCGAGATGCTCTACGTCCAACTTCGAGACGCGCGATCGCAGCGACAGAGCTCCACTAGACAGAAGTCCCGTCGAGCGAAATCGAAATTGACGCAAGCAGAACGAGCATTAGGGTTGGTGTAGCCAAAGAATTCCGCGAGCCAAACCGCGCAATGCCTTTGCAAGCAAGGCAGGTTTGCGTCTCCCGCAGCTTCCCCGGACCGTGCGCCGCGTGGTTCACCTACCGAGAGACAGGGAACCTGCACGCTCTCCCGCTCGCCTCTTTCATTAATGCTGCTTTGTCTGAGCTTTGATGCCTACGGATCCCGATTTCGGGAAAAGATAATTTGTAAGCGCTTCGTTCGTCCCTTTCACATTTCATGTTTGCTTCAAAAAGCATTGAGATATAATAAGTAACACAATACTAATGGGGAAATTGTAGCAAAGTAAAGCGCATGGCATTTGATCATGATATCTCTTAAATATGCATATATATATATTGATGCGGTTTCTCTTGCCTCCTCTTTATCTCTATCACAACTAGTATTTGCAATCACCACATCTACAATAATAACTTGAAAACTTCAAAAATTTATAAAGTGTAGACTAGGAGGTTGGAGAGTGTATCATTATTATATCAGAAAAGTGGTAAAGGACTATAAAATTGCATGCGTCTCTATGTATCCAAGTCTATATGTAATGAGAAAACGGTAAGATAATACCATTTCTGAATATATTAAGTTGAAAATAATGTTAAAGATACAGTATCTGCCAAGGATAGTAGCCACTTTTAGAAATAAAAACACACCTCAGATACTGAATTAAGTATAACTCCAATGTACAGTTTCAAAAATTGAGGACAACGCTCTAGTAGAAGATTTCAGAGGAAAAAAATATTTCATTCATTGTCAAAATATAAACCAAAATTCCTTTATCTTCAAGCAAAGTTTGCGACCATAAAGTTATTAAATTTGGTTATTCGACGGAGTCTTTGACAAATGATTTGCACGATAGTAAAGCAAGTAACCCACTAGAGCCTTACGTTCAACAATTATCGAACTTGAGCTAGGAACGCTATAGCTGAAAATCGCTTGGACATCAAAAGGATGTTTCATGTGAAAAGTCGTTCTCAATCTGTCGTTCGGGGCATTTGCATGGCGATGAGAACATGCTGAAGGTAATTTAGGTGTCTGTCCTATTATGGGGTATTCTGGAACAGCGTTTCTGTTGATTTCGTGTTTTTTCAATTCTTTCCAGAAGGAAGAGTACGTGGAACTAATATTTATAGGGTTGGATGGTAACAACTAAAGGGTTGAACGTGGTTCGTTGTCGCGAAAAGTAACAGTAAGGGGATCGAAGAGCATGAGAGCTGCCGGTGGTTCACAAAGCGATGTTATTGTGTAGAAGTGGCCCTCGACCCGCAAGCAATTTCTCTCGTGATTTCTTGAAGCGTTGAGCTCGTTGGCGATCCGATCGGCAGGCAGTAGACATGGCGCCATCGGCCCGGCCTTCGAAGGCTTTTGTGAAAGAGGAGAAGAAGAGCGATGACATCATGGAGACTCCCGCTTACAGCGCGGAAAACGTCCAACACAACATGAGGATCATCTATTACAGGTTCGATTCGTCTGGTCAGCTCACATTGGATGGTAGATTGGGGATCTTCTCTTTGAGTAGCTTCTACAATGTAGCTTCGACGATGTAATAACTGTGATCTTGAACGATTAAGGAATTTTCCCTTCCCGCGGAACTACTTAGATTGATTATAAAATCCTCTGTTGCAGAGAAGTTTTTTGTGATTATGTGATATCTTCTTCTGTACAGACTTTGAATTTATCTTGGGAAGATCGAGAGGGAAGTATAATTTGATACCATTTCTGAAGATTCGGATTCAGAATCGAAAATCGCATTCGGACAGAAAAGTCATTTAGGGTTGTTCTGGTTACCGTCAGTGGACTTTATGAATCCTTGTTCACGTGAAAGTCAGCTTCTAAGTATCATGAAATGTCTGCATTCTTCCCCAGAATTGAGCCTGATTGGAGTTGGTGACACTCACAAGTGAAGCTAATGTAGGTGCTGAGTAAGTGAACTTGATTGTAAATCAAGTTCACTTACTCATCACCTACATTAGCTGCCCTTTAGTTTCCCATTCGAAAATTTTGGCAATGGAGATATTGAACTTGACCCGAATTGCAATGTTATCGCAACTGCATGACCATGTTTTTCACAGTAGTGGACACAAGATCGATTGTATTCAACTGATGGTAATCTCGTATGGTTATATGCCAGTCGCACATTTTTGTCAATTGTGGGAGGAGTGGTTGCCGGTGTGCTGGGTCTCTCTGCCATCTCGGGCTTTTTGTGTTATTTCATCATTATGCTTCTGGTGTCCGGAGGAATTGCTGCGAAGACTAAATTTGATATTTTCTCCTACTTCGACTCATGGCAACGTATCACAGTTGATGGTATCACGGCTGGATTTATGGTACGTAGCAGTAATTTATTACCAGCTGTATGAATTGTTGCATCTTATTTTGCTTATCAAACAATGTCAATTCAAATACCTCGTTTGAAACTTGCACCTTCAATCGACTGCGAGTTCTGACATATATACCCTCGGTGTACACATCTTTTCCCCTTTGTCTTCGCACATCTCTGTAGTAGCGAGGGTGCCGTAATTGACTAACTTGTGTGTGCCTTTGCATCTGTTGAAATTTCTGGATGCTGATGTTCCTCGTGGTTTGTGTTGCAGTCTTTTGTTCTCTTCTGGACGTATCCTTCTTATTTATTGTGTTTCGCATTGTGTGTTGTGGAGAAATCACAGTTCAGTTTCTCTGTCCTTGGTTAGGATGTCAGGGGCGTTTTTCAACTTATGGTGATCACCCTGCTTCATGTGAATGCTTTGTCTATTCAATTGGGCCTGATAAAGCATCCGGATAGTGAAGTCTTTAGTGAGACATTTCATTATGCATATTCTTTAATTGTCCTTGTTGGAAAGTTACTTTTCGCTTTTGTTCGAGTATGTGACTTTCATGGTCGACCTTAACACTTTCTCAGATTTGCTTACGACATTGTTCATATTTTCTAAGGACACGGTTTGCTTCGACCTGAGAACAAACAGGGGCTATTTTCTAGCTCTAGTATCACTTTCTGTGTTGTTGCTTCCATCAGTAGTCATATTTTTGTGCCTGATGGAACTGAAAATTGTAAAGAAGTGGCTACCTTATACACGTGAACAGTTGGAGGGTGACACTTGCGTCAGCTCCCAGGACATCGTACGGGGCTGCAACGTAGATTCAGCAGGTAGCCCTAATAAATTCTACACAAACACACACTGTTTATTACGTAAAGCTCATGGTAGACACAGACATTCAAGCGATGACGTTCAAACTTTCTCAGAAGTAGGGGATCACATGAGCTTTGTATACACCTGCTCTTCGTCCTCCTCCAATTAGAAGAGCTCATTGTGGTCAGAGTTGGATGGGCCAAACATGTGAAGATTCAAACAAATGCAACAGCAGTCGTTCATTTCTCAGGTTAGTTTTTTTGGTCTACTGGTTAGTTTAGAGAAGGTCAATTACGTACTGAGGAATCTCCAAGAGGCTTTTGGGCACAGATGTACACTGATGGAGCAGTCGTGTCGCTTATTATGATCCTTAAGCGACGGACGAAATTCTGTAATTTGATGGGATGTCTTCATCGTTGAGAATGAATCTGTGCACTGTATGAGAGATTGTTCGTTTTCACATCATTGTAACGGAGGGTATAGTTTGAGTGCATGTTAACAGATGTTTGGTGTTTCTTCGGGAAGTACTTGTGAACCAAATGTTTAGAGAATGGTTGACCGTCATGTCAAGACATTCAATTATGCCACCAAATGCTCATCTTGTTCATAGAGCATCTCCACTATAATTTTGTGTTCTGAGCGTTGGATGAAAACATGTGAAGTTTACCAGGTCTAGAGGACCACGACCAGGTCACTGTAAACAGGACGTGAATTTGAGAAAGAATCAGTCAATAATGAGTCATACGTTCAACAGACAGTTTGTAATTTTTGAAAGTTTGTTTCCATGGATGCTCAAAGAGGGACCTGAGTAATACGTGTCTTAAAACTCAAATATGACTATCCAGACTCTAGTGTAGAACATTATAAGTACATCATAAACAGTTTTAGGAGATGCGAAAGAGAAATTATGACTATCCAGACTCTAGTGTAGAACATTATAAGTACATCATAAACAGTTTTAGGAGATGCGGAAGAGAAATTACGTTACCTCAAGGTACCACAAGTAATTCTACAACTTAGACTTTCGTGACAAACGTCACTATTGGCTTTCGTCCCTCTCCAACTATAGCTAGGAACATTGGAGCCGAGCCGGAGATTACACGTTTGCTCCACCATGTACACTACAGGGTCTTGCTATCATCGTAACTAAAGTTTTTTATTCCCAAAACTATGCTTCTTCTTCTCTATCATGATGGTTCGGATTCACTTTTCCATATGCTGTGATGTAGACACACTACACTGTCTCCTCAATCGATCCTTGAGAATTTCCAACTCATAAGTGTTGAAGCTCGAACGAGTTGTTTGGGGCGCAATTACATGTAGGCAAATTATTTCAAATAGGAAGTTGTGAGAGGAAGCAAGGGTTCAAGAATGAGTTTCTTTAATTAGGGATAAGGAGTGCAGTCTTTGAAATTGTATTTATGGAACTCAAAATGGATTTTGTTTTACTAGTCTCTCCTTGGTGACATTGTGAGAGTAGAAGGTATTACTTAAAACAATAATATTTGATTGTTTGGAGAGAACATAAAAGTTTCAACAAGTTTAGATCAAGTATTGAGATGCATGAATGTTAGCTATGATTTCTTGTGAGCCTCAATTTGGTTGCATAAGTATTTTGCACCTTCCTTGTTTGTTTTAGCTAATCTTTTCTGGAATGGTAATGTACATGTTGGTTATTGAGAGATTACGGGCCTAAACCCAAAACCCAATGCATCCCTCTTCTCTGTTAAATTGTATCTTGTTCTTTTTTGTTTTTTTCCTATTTTAGTATTTTTAATTTATTTTTTTCTGTGACGCCACTATCTATTGAGATGGATGATGAAATTAAGAATCAACCTCACTATCTATGAGACAAGATTTGTAGAACATAAGTGGCAATAATAGGGATCTAGTTCCTTTGTGTTAGTAGAGGTTAGATTACCTTGCGTTACAGATTTGGTTATGATCGGAAATTGTTTGACATATTAAGTAGGTATATACGATTGTCATAAATGGTTTCAAAGGAAAGTGTCTAAAGATAGCAAATGGATGCATCTAGAGCAGGCAGTATAAAATCTGGCAAATGTTAGGTTTGCCAGAATCAATATTATTTTGGCAAATTTTTCTCCTCAATTCTGGCATTTTTGGGATTGAAACTGTAATTTCATTATTTTTTGTACTTGGCTATAATCGTTTTGCTTTGCATTTATAAGACTCATGTGTGAGTCATAATTTTCTCATTTGATGATGGAGAAGTCGTTTTCAACTGAATTCCTATTTGAAAATGTTGAATGTATGAAAAAAAATATGAAATGTATATGGTTCTAGCCAATATAAAAGTCAAAATGATCAAATCAAACATACAATATAAATGATATGAAAGTAAGAAAGTGAACAAAAAATATAACATCTATGCGAACTGTATTTCTTACTTCTTATCTTAATTTCGTGAGCAACTTGTTCTCTAGTGATGAGTAAGTACGACCAAGAATTTTTGCACCTATTCGCAACTTACTGTCAAGTTACTCGCACACTGAGGTTTGCAATCCGCAATTCAATGCCAAATTCAAGCGCATGCACTCACGGGCTGTATCCGGATCAGGCATTTCTATCCTATCTTCCTCCTCCCGGACTTCCATTGAGTGAGTGCGCGGAGTTTCAACATGACCGTCTTTAAAATATATGGAATTTTAGTCTGATTAATTTTGGAAAATTTTGACGTCTAGAAACCAGATTTGGAGTCCTTATCTAGAGCCGAACTGGTCAACAAACTTCACTGTTGAGGTTTAGTTTGAGGATTTGTTAGAGTTGAGTTGGATGGTAGGTTGGAATGTGTTTATCCATCATGGTTGTGGAGACATGTTTCATCATGATTGAGCCACCAAGAATCATGGACTAGATTATAATGTAAAAATCATCATTGTGAGGGAGTATTCAAATTATGAGAGTTAGATTCATAATGCAATTAGTAGGAGGCACATAATATGCTACTTGGACAATTCAAGTACCCATTTTTATAATTTTGACTACTAAAATCATGAAGAGAAAATATTTTGGATTCAACTTTGAATTTTCAAGTGCCTTTTTATTATATCGTGTGTAGCGTTATGTGCCGAATAATTTTCCTGGTTGCTCATAACATTGTAGAATGATTTGAATACATATGCGAAAATTTATAACAAATTCATTCTCCCATGAACTGATCACATCATTTGAACAACTTGAGTTTCAACATCTTATATCTCTCGAAGGTTGAATTGATTTATCCTACGTCCGATCATCCTACGGATGATCGGACGTAGGATGCAGGATTTATCAATTCAACTTACCTTCACATGGATGTAAGTTCAGTTGAACTATGACATGGATGGATATGTAATTTTTAAGAAGTTGCTAGTTTCAAGAATCTTAACATAAATTCTAAAACGTTTTATGATTTGCTTTATGAAAATAATAAGAGTTATGGATTGAAAATCATAACATATAGCAAAATTACATACTTAACATTCAAAATAAATTTAGAAAACGTATCTTTTTATAATTTTTAACTATTCTAAAAAATAGTAATGAGGATTATTTTTTGTGAGAATGTGATCATTTTCTTGCTTGACATTTTTTCATGAAGATGATCATCATTATAAATATTATTGCATTGTAATTGTAAATTATATTGCTCTTTCAACGTAATTGAAAGAGCAATATAATCAATTATCAAAAGTACTAGTTTTCAAAGAAAAAATGAGATTTAAATACATGTTTAGAAGGATATTGTTGTAATGTATGTTTCACATGAGTTGAACTTATATCAAAACATCTTTTGATAAAGAGAGCAAAGTTGTAAGAAATATTTTTCCTTGTTGCATCCTCACAAGGCTTTTTATTTGACAAGATTCAGATCATATCTTATTAAATTCATGATGCATTTGTACTCTTGACAAGCTAAGTGATTTTCTTTGTCATGCTAGGATAAACTGACTTCTTCATATCAATGACCGTTGAGATGACTAATGTTGCATAGTTTGAGCGTTTTTTCAATGAAGACTGAAAAACTGTTGTATGACTGTTGATACTAATCACATTTTAATAAATGTGATTAGTATCAACATTATAAAGTTAAATTTTGTTGTATAAATGAAATGGTTAATTTTGATTTCAAGTTTGTATTATTAATCACAGTGCTCAAGTTTCTTAAACATACATTTTCAATCACTAATTTTCTTGAAGAAACATATTGTTTATTGATATCATATCAAAATATCAGACTATTTGATTGATTATAAACAATAACATGTGTACTTTAAACTATTGTATTGCAAAGATAATTTTGATAATCATGTATAATCACTTCCAAGTAAACTAGATGTATGAAACTTAACCGATGATGCAAACATGATGATTTTATGTAGGCTCATTGAGATTTTCAGTATGATTTCAGAAATTTCATAAGTAATCACTTAAAGACTTTAAGTGATTACTTAGTGAGACTTACATGAAAACATGGTACTTTAAGTTAAAGTACCATGTTTTCAGATTATATCTATTCAGTTATATATTTATACCTTGAACCTATGTTTACTTTTTTCTCATATAACTGCTGATTCCATAGTGTTTCAACATAATCTGTTCAAAATGTTATGCTTTAAAAATTGATTGAACTAAAAATTTATTATTTAAAAAAAAATTTTTGAAAAAATTTCATGAAATTAAATCATATGATTTATTTTGAAATAAAAATAATTACATATTTAAATTTATTTTATTATTTTGAAATTGAGATGAATATTATTATTTTTATTCAAAATCAATCGATATTGTGCACTCTATGATCTGATGAATCACACAATTTTTAATTTATTAAGAAGAGTACAGATTTTTTCATTATTTAAATATGACGATATAACATCGCTAGCGAATTCTTTTCACATTGAATGCATCTCAAAAGAATTGTAACGTGTGAACTATATGGACTTTGTTAACAGGGATATGACGAGATTGGATTATGTCACTTCTACAATATATTATTAAAAACTTTTGAGTAATGTTTATCAGCATCATAAATGTTTTCAAACATGAAGAATACATTGCATTGTGTAGATATATCATTTGTATATCCATTATCGTATACCAATATAGTTAATTTTATCCAATCTTTGTCCATATTCCCATTTTCTTTTAATGCATATACACACCAGTGGTTTAAAACCTAAGCGGAAAAACTATTAAGATAATTGCAGAAAATCATTTCGCAAGAATGGTCACCACTCTAATATCTGAATAATTCTTTCATTCTATCAGTACAGCGAATTTGCTTCGACGCTGTGTTATAACAATACATCTTTGAACTAAAAGAACTTCATAACCCTTTAAAAGATGTTATATGATATGTTTAATTGACGGAGATATACCATGGTGATATAAACACCTTGGATCAAGGTTTTCGGTTCACAGTCAACCCGTTTTCGGTTCACAGTCCTACCATGAGCTTTCCTGCAGCTATATTTTGGATTTTGTTATAATGTTTATTTTCAGGGCAAGAAGGTCCTAACACGTAAAACGAATTACGACCAATGTGTGCAATCTCGTGGCCGGCAGTCAAATCCGTCCCTAACAGTGGCAACAGCGGCGCTTCGCACCGAGCTGGAGGGGCCGAGAGGCCGGACGCCTGAAGCACGAGAGAAAGCCGAGAGACAGTCTCGCGTGTGCCATGAGCTGCAGCTCTTCCTGCGGAGCGTCTATCCGTTGTCATTTGGTCTAGTCTTGAAACCTCGGGACGAGCCGCGATGGCGTCGTCGATGCCGCGCTCGTTGCTTTCCGTGTCGTCACTCCTCTGCCTCTTCTTCGCGTTGGCATGTGCGGCTCCTGCGAATCTTGTTCTTACCAAAGTCGATCGCAAGGTGCGCGATATTTGGATCGTTTTTCTCTCGGTTTTCTTTCTTCTTCCTGGATCAGATTGTCTGTAGGTTTTTCCGGGGTTTCTAGATCAGAGATCGGGTGTCTTCTGCATGTAATTCGCATGTTTTAGGTTTTACAGCACATTCTCTGCCGCATTATGGAAGATCGTTGTCAGTCAAGTAGTCTGATTTGTTGTATGTCGTTTCAGAGAACAGTTGTAACCCCAGTCATGGTCTGATTTCTTGGTCATGTGATTTTATGTGTTGCGCGCACAGATTGACTTGAGTTCGCAAATCGTGAGGTCTACCACCCAAATCAGGGTAGGCATTTCTCTCAACCTCGTCTTTTGCAGTTTGAGCTATCCAAGTATTGCCAGGTCTGTAGTAGGTTTCTTGAGATATAATTTTGTCTTTGGACCACCGTCATACTCAGCTGATGGTGATTTCTTTTTTTTGGAATAGTTAATGTTTGGATACAAGATGCACATGTCTGAAAAATTAGTTATGTTTGAAGTGCAAAAAAACTCTACTGATCTGTGTGTCAACTTTATTTCCTCCTGCCTACTATCCAGTTGGTGGTACTTACTGTTTTCTTTTATATCGATAGCGTAGCTGAGGTTTTAGGAATCGTTTTGAGTTCATGAGCTGATCCTTTAACGATTCTTTCTCCTATGCTTTATTACTATGATAACGCTCGAGCTGAATCGGTGTCGGAAAAATTGTGACAGGTTGAGAACAAGGGCTCAGATCCTGCTTCAGAGCTTTTACTGGCTTTGAACTCAGCGCAGGCTAAAAGTCTGTCTTACCTGAGGGTCACAACATCTGAAGGCAAGGGCAAGAGTAAATCTCAAGCAATCGTACTTCGTGTACTTCCAGCTGAAGCCCAAAGTCCTGCCAATGTCACCTTTTATTCTGTACAACTGCCGAAGTCCTTGAACAAAGGAGAGACTGTTGCTCTCGATATCTACTCAGCATTCACTCATCTGTTGACCCCGTACCCTGTGGAGATTGGACAATCTGATGTCCAGCTTGTACTTTTCCATGACAGTGCACACTTCCTCTCTCCTTACCCAGTGAAGGTGCAAGCAACCGCCATGAAAGTTCCAAGCTTTCGTGTCGAGTCTTTCACTAAAGTTGAGCCAAGCAAAATATCCGATGGAGAAATTAGGTACGGCCCTTATGAGAATGTGCCTGCCCTCTCTTATATGCCAATTACGGCCCACTTCGAAAACAATGAACCCTTTGCCGTTGTCAAGGAATTGGAACGTGAGATTGAAATTTCTCATTGGGGTAACATCTACATCACGGAGAAATACCATCTGACACACGCTGGTGCACGCCACAAAGGTGGCTTCTCAAGGTATGTTGTAGCCTAAAGTCGAGATGGAAGATCATATCTGCAAGTTGAACTAATTTTTTTGATCTGAGGTTTGATAACTGTATGAACCGAGTCACATTCTAGTTTGCTTGTTGGGTGCGTGGTATGGTTTTTAGGGCACTTTTACAGCAAATGGCTTTACTTTGTCTAATCAAGATTTTTGTCTTTTACTTGAGCAGATTTGACTATCAGTCAAAACCCAGTGCTAGTGGTGCATCTTCTTTCCGCCACCTGCTTGCTAGGCTGCCTCCTCGTGCCCACTCCGTCTATTACAGGGATGAAATTGGAAATATTTCCACATCTCATTTGCGAAGTGACTTGCGGAAGGTAAGCATATGCAGGTCATATCTGTTCATCCTTCGATTTTTTTGAAAGTACTCTCAAGGTATGTGAAGTGTAGTTGTCATGTCGTATATTTGTTTGATTCAGTTAGGTTAGATTTCCTCTATATTCTAAACCACTTCTTTGCTTTTGGCTGTTTCGAGCTATCGTAGACAATTTCGTAATTTCAATTGTGGACAAGCTTGACTGTCTGCTGTTGATGAATGTCTGTCTGTATTTAGACGTAACGGAGTGCGTAACACGTCCTTGGCCTGCTGACGCTCTTTTGCATGTTGTTCCGCAGACTGAGTTGGAACTGGAGCCACGTTATCCTCTCTTCGGAGGGTGGCAGGTTACCTTCACCATTGGTTACGGAATCCCTCTACAAGACTTTGTATTCAAGGCAGAAGACGGTAGACGATTTCTCAACATCACTTTCGGCTCCCCATTCGTTAACGTTGTCGTCGACAACCTTGTTGTGAAGGTATCTTTACATACAACGTGTTTCTTGCCGAAATCATAAAAGTCGGTTTTTTTTTGCACGACCGTTGTACACGCCCTGAGAGGTGTGCTGCAAAGTCACATCGATTGTTCATACGCATTGAATATTAAAAGGACTACCCCCCGAAGATGATCACTGAGCATGATCTTTACCCTCGTTTTCCAGGTCGTTCTACCGGAAGGATCTACAGAGGCGTCTGCCACTTTGCCTTTCGCGGCGGAGGAAGCTCTCCGGGTATAAAATTGTTGTGATTGAATTTCTCAATGAGTTGTCGGTGCAGTATCTGTATCTATCTCTACACACAGAAGGCTAGCGTGTAGTTTGTCATTCTAAAGAAGCTCAAATTTTATGGAATCACCCTACAAGAAACAGCTTCCTGCTTGTTTGGGGAGGTTTTAAGTGGATAAGGCGTAAGACATTCTTTCAGATGAGCTTCTACTGGTCTTATGTCTGTATCATATGGTTGAGAGGGTTTGGACCTCTTAGCAAAGTTGTTGACTAGTGAACACGTTTTGTGTCGTTTTGATGACTTTTAGACCAAGTATACATACTTGGACACTGTTGGACGTCCAGTTGTCGAGCTTACCAAGAAGAACGTTGTACCAGAACACAATGTGCACTTCCAGGTATGTAGTCTTTCATAATGCAAGCTTATCATGTGTTATGAGGTTATGGGACGGGTGAAGTTTGAAAGTTGTGACTTCTCACTGTCCTGGCCGTTCCTGGTTCGGTTCCTGCAGGTTCACTATCGATTCAGCTCAGTCGCAATGCTCGCGGAGCCTCTGCTTCTTGTCGTGGGCTTTTTTGCCTTTTTTGGGGCATGTATTGCCTACACTCATTTTGACTTCTCAATCTCCAAGTCCTCATCTTCTTACCAGGCTCGGCAACAACGCGAAGAGGTGGGTGCTGCTATGTCATAAAAAGTTTTTGCTGATCTCAATGTATGATACAGGCACTTGGATCGCCTAAACGGAAGAACTCATAGCCTTCAAAACAAATGATGGAATACATTCTTATTCTCATTCCATCTTTTAAAAATGTATGCCGTCGTTCTTTGATGCAGGTCTTGGACGCAGTTCAACGTATCCAGAAAGTGATGAATGAGCGAGCAGCCACCAGTGACAAACTTGAAGCGTCCCTTCGTGATCTTGCCCGTACCGGGAATGTTGCCACTTGCAAAGCTGCGCGTAAGGAAGCTGATGCAAAGCTGAAAGATACCAACAAAGACCTCAAGGCAATTCTTGACTCTCTTCCAGCATCATCTCGATCAACTGTACTTGCCAAGGTTTGTTTCTTGAACTTAAGCTTCTTCCGCTGTTCTGTCAGTGGTCTTTATGTCCTCTCCTGGCCCTCTGCATCTGGGTGAGGAACGGTATATATGTACGCATCTGATCTTAGACAGTATGAGAAGTTTGATTGAGTATGGTGGGACACTCACATTCGGTTTACAGTCGAGATTAAGTTGTGTCCTGTAAAGAAAGTAGTAAGAGCACTGTATGCTTTTCTGATTGCCTCAGACTTACCAGCACCCTAGAATTCACTTTAACTACTCGGGTTGCCTTTTCAAGATGGGCCCTTCGGTATTGTCATCAGCCTTTATAGTCATTCACCATGAAATAGTCGACAGTGCTCGCGTTCCCACTTAATCTATTTCTCAAAGCACATCTCTCGTTTGGAACCACTTCTTTACAAAAGCCTGTGTTGAATTATGAGTTTGGGGTGCAATTTAAGTGGAGTCCTCTAAGTTTGATAATCTCGAAAATTCTCAGGTCGACACTTTAATGCAAAAGGAGCGTGAGAAGCAAGAAAAGTTGCAACAAAAGCACACAGTGACTGTGGAAGCCTACGAGAAGAAGTTGAGTAGCAAGGAGATTGACAGTCGAGTTGCACCTTATCAACAGAAGCTTACTGCTCTTAAGCAGGAAGTGGCAGAGCTCTTTCACTTGTTAGATGATTAGAATGGTGTAATATTCTGCTTTATCTCAATAACGGCACTAGTTATCCAGGTCAAGGTATTCATGTTCAATTTTGGAAAGGAGCTACATTTTTCCCCTGGGAGTGGTGCTCAGGGCAGAGGTAGGTGTTACCTTGAGGGTCGTGCCAAAGTGGCCGGATATGGGAAAGTGAATACGTGTAAACTGTCTGTGGGTTGATGCATTAGTTGAGGGGAAAGAAATCACCGAGTTAAAAGCGATCGGTCCAGGGTGTATCGATGTTGAGCATTATGAATGTAGAGCAGATGAGGGCACACCAGTAATGAAGAAGTCAGTTTCAAAAATGAGCTCTTTCACTTTTTTGAGATTGTCGAGTTTTCCTCATAATGAACCCTTTTTCGGGTTGAACCTTGGCTGTCGTATTTTCTAGTTGTGGATTCTTACAAGGCATTTATCCTGTCTTCTTGCAAGTGTAGGCACTCGAATGCCCCCGCGACCTTTAAGTTTCATATTGTATTCCGGTCAAACGAGCATTTATTGTAGTCGCTATTTATACGGTACTTTAGGTACAGTATAAAAGCGCTCTTTATGTTTCTTTAGGTACAGTGCTTCATTTTTCTCCTTAAAAGCGTGGCCGAGAAGTTCGCCCCTCGGCTGAATAATCAACTGTGAATCTTCAATCAAACGAATTCTATGATTACCAGTTCATCTACACGACAAACTTTCCGCACTTGCTGATGGTATGTTTGTTGTGTAGCTTAGCTGGTTTTGGGAGAACAGTAAGGACGACACATTGTAATGCCATCGAAATGAAATGTACGTAAACGGAGGATAGCCAATTCTCAATCTTATACATCAAAATCTGTATATTCAAATATGTTACCTATGCGATGTGAAGTCCATACTATACTTGTATATTTCTGTCTCTGTACTCCGTCGTTGTAGTAAAGTGGAAACCTAGTGACTAAATTTTGATTCTCAACAAAGCAATCAGTTATAATTACACTATAGAAATACGACATTAATGTGCGAGATCAAAAACCTATTGAGAAATACTTCTTTTAAATCTCGAAAGGACGAGTTGTTCACAAATGCATCTGTAGTGATGTAACAGCAACGAGTTTATCTTAGTTATAAATTATATATAGTGTGAGGTATATCAATATACATTTCTTGCACATTCTAGGAGAAAGTTCATGAAATTAATTACTTTCACAAGCGTTGGAAACCATAGCAATACTAATGATCTTCATTCCACTTCTGATACAGTTATCAATCGGCCTTCACGCATCATTCTACACGAAGTTATGCCATCTATTTCTCTCCCTCCCCCTTCCCTGGCGCGTGAAATCTGAGACTTGCTTGCGGAATGGAATGCTTCCGTTTCCCTGCCTCGGATTCCTGCGGCCGCATGCGAGTCACGGACCCGAATCCCTCGTGCCTAAAAACCATGCCTATTCGGCGGAATATGGGTGATATGGTAAATGGTCCTGCTGCCCACCCGAAGCGTGCTGATCATCAATGGCACCCGGTCCTTAGAGATTCTCAGTTCTGTACGATCCGAATTCTCCTTAAGGTATTTCTCGTCTGGTTTCAAGCTTCCGATTGCTATGGAAGCCTCCTCCAATCCAAGCTTAGCATTGGACCCAAAACGAACACGTTCAAGATTGGTTTTGTTTTCAGAGAAATTTTGAAAGCTGTCGGGGAAGGTGGAAAAAGTAAATGAGGAGGGTGGGAGATCAACCCCTAACATCTTATCTTAGGTTACTATGGTATACATTGTTTTAACACATCATTCAATAAATTTATACTATCTCAAACTTTCTAGTTGAGATTTTACCCTACATAGCTATTGATTGTATTTACTAAGATACAAATCTATACAAAGAATATTTGAGATTATGAAAGAGCACAGCTTGGCGATTTCACTTGTTTCAGAGCATTCTAAACAATCATTCTCTATCAACCCTCAGTTTAGTACTTAGTGCTAATCTCTGCAACTCTGATTAATCTTTATTGTTTTCCTGCCCAGCAGTTTGATAATACTCCCCCGTAATTGTAGCAAGACAGAATACTTTATAATTACCCGAGAGACCTGAAAAGCAATCTGGTAGATCCTCATGATCTTGGAGTATTGTGTAGGATTTGCTTAAGGTGAGAACTAACGGAGTAGTTTCATTTTGGAAACTTCCTTCGCACGCATGCAAGTGGATTAGACCTATGAATCATCAAACGTCATATACCGGTTTCTGAGTTCAACGCTACTCTTGTGTGCATCAGATGCAGTGGAGAATTCGAAGGAAGAACAAGGCTGACGGGATTCCATATTTCAGTGACCTGAGACTTGGCTAGAAGTGCTCGTTCAAAAAGAAATAAAGGCAAAGGCTTGATCCTGATGGACTCTGCAGTCGAGGCATTGTCCTGTGCATTTTACTTGTTATTTAGGATATCTTGTAGAGCTAATGTCCCACATAGAGCACATAGCTAAGGTCCTACAAAATTGGCCGGCCCAGCATCTTCACTTTCTTTGGTAGAGTGATTGTGATATTCTTTGCAGTAGAGGCATTGTCATGTGGGTTGTACTTGTTGAATGCCTTTTTACTTTTTTCTGTTCAATGTGCATTCCAGAGGAGCAAGCATCAAGACAGCAGCAGTCAGGGTATGCTTTGGGGTTGCTGGTGGAACACAGTTTGGCGATTGTACGCGTTTCAGAGCATTCTGAACAAACATTCTCAATCTGAGTAGTCTGTACTGTTCTCCTACCCAGCAAGTTGATAATACTCGCCCGTAATTGTAGCAGGAGAAAATACTTTATAATTGCAGTCTGGTAGACGCTCATGATCTTGGATTATTGTATAGGATTTGCTTAAGATGAGAACAAATGGAGTAGTTTCATTTTGTAAACTTTGTTCACCATGCAGGTGGGTTATACCTATGAATCACCAAACCGCATATACCTATTTCTGAGTTCAACGCTATTCTTGTGAGCATCAGATCAGATGCAGTGGACAATTCAAAGAAAGAACAAGGCTAACGGGATTCCATATTCCAGTAACCTGAGAGTTGGCTCAAAGTGCGTGTGTAAAAAAAAGAAAAGGCGGTGGACTCTGCAGTCGAGGCATTGTACTATGTGTTTTACTTGTTATCTAAGGTCCCTTGTAGAGCTAACGTCTCAAATAGAGCACATAGCTAAGGTCCCACAAAATTGGCCAGCCGAGCATCTTCACTTTCTTGGGTGGAGTGATTTTGATAGACTTGTGCAATCGAGACATTGTCATTTGGGTTGTACTTGTCAAATATTTTTTTCCTGAGACATGTAAGCTGCATTCCAGAGGGAGCAAGCATCAAGACAGCAGTCAGGGTATGCTTGGAGTTGCTGGTGGAACACAGTTCAGCGATTGTACGTGTTTCAGAGCATTTTGAACAAACATTCTCAGTCTGATTAATCTGTACTGTTCTCCTACCTTGCAAGTTGATAATACTACACCGTAATTGTAGCAGGATAGAATACTTTATAATTACCCGAGAGACCTGAAAAGCAATGTGGTAGACGCTCATGATCTTGGAGTATTGTGTAGGATTTGCATAAGATGAGAACGTACGAAGTAGTTAAATATTGTAAACTTAGTTCTCACGCATTCACGTGGGTTAGACATATGAATCACCAAACGTCATACACCGGTTTCTGAGTTCAACGCTACTCCTGTGGAGCAGTTGAGAACCTGAAGTACTCGTTTAAGCTATACACAGTTCTTCCACATATTGCTTTATAAACTCCCAAAATGTTGATAGTTTGATATAAACCTACGAGATTTTTAGAGTAATATAGAATAATGTAACGATCCTCAAAGCAAGATCCTCAAAAAATACAACAAACTTTGTCCTCCAAGCTGACTACCCATGTGCCACTCAGTTGTCAGAATACATGCACTTGCTTGCGTGACGACATGAGTGTCTCAGCACATTGAAGCATTCCCTCACACATCCTGTTCGCTTGCACAACGAAGTGAAGATTTACTCTGACCGTCTTAGAACATTCTACGATCATACCCAGTATGGAGGAAGACGCTTGTTGTGTTGGCATGTTGTCGTTACCTCACTCGATTCGTGTAATAACCCACTAAAGGCTAAAACTGCAATATAGTGGTAGAAAGGTCGAACCCACAGGGACAGAGGAACACACAGGGTACAAAGTGTCACGTTTTAACAGACTATTGAGGAGTTTGAATTCTCAGGCGACTGTCACTCCCAGAAATACTGCAAGTGTCCACTCGGAGCGCACTCGGAGGTCGCACAGTGCAGCGTAACACACACACACACACACACCTGAAACTACAGAAACACAACCCAGAGATCCGTTAGGACCTCTACTTCAAGATTTCAGGGGGAAAGTCTCTCACGAGCACACTCGGCAAAGCTGCGGGCAGTGACTTCCAACTCCGGCTTTTACAACGCTTCCACTAGCTTGCTGCTAGTGTAGGAAACCCGGTTTGGACTACCTACTTCGGATCGAAGTCACTCAGACGCGGTGAACAACACTCTCAACTCACAAAACGCGCAGAGAACACAGGTCCACACTGAAGGACTCACTGTGAAACATTCCAGTAACACAACAACAGTCTATTGAAGAGTTTGAATTCTCAGGCACTTGTCATTCCCAGAAATACTACAGGGGTTACCCTCAAGGCACCTGCTGCAGCGTAACCTGAATTTACAACCAAGGCTTACACGAAGTAGCAAAACTTCACTTTGGCATTCAGGGGAAAAATCCCAAGGGAGTACAATCAGAAAGAAACACTCGAAGGTGTAGGGGCGAAACTGTTCAAGTATCTAACTAGTCACTGGCTCTGAGCATCGGCAGTCACCCGCAGGTGCAGATCCGAACTACTCAAGTCTCTAACCAATGTACTAGCTCTGAACATTCGGCCGAAGGCCTTCAGCTACAAAATGCGGAACGCTAAGTTGTAACTCCTCGTGCGTGGTGACAGAACTCAAGGACACAAACACGCAAAGGAAATGGGTTCCTGATCTGCACTTCTGATGGGAAAGAACCCCAGGCAAAACGCCTGGAACTATTTTATACCTTCTAAGTCCTACCTAACACTACACTGCACTACGCTACACGCCTGCACGGAACCACGCTACACTACACTCCGCGGAACCTGTACTACGTCTCCTGCGCGGCCGACTGCCGCGCACTAACTCTCTACCCTGCCACTCTTCCGCTCGACTGCGCAGTCCCAACCGCTGCAACGCCGCGGACACCTCCCCCTCGAGGGCGGACATGGTATCCTGTGCCTTCGACAGAAAGGCTTCGAGCTTCTTCGCTACCTTCCGTCGACTCCTACTGTCGCCTGACAACAACCCGGCTGCGCGCAATTCAAACTCACGCAGTGTGAGTTTCTCCTGCGCCTTCACTTCCCAGTGGGCGTAGCCCTTGAGACAGTGGGCGACTCGCCTCGCCGTCTCCACCTTCGTGCGATCCGCCTCCTTCCTGCGATCCTCTTCAATTATCACTAATTGCGATTCGGCTTCAGCACGTTGCGCTCTCAATTCGCCACACTCTGACTGTAACCTGCGGATTAATTCTTCATCCGCCTGCCGTGCGAGCTGACATTGTTCCAACAACCTCGTCTGTCGCACGAGCTCCTCTGACAAAATCCGATTCAGGGCCTGCTCAGAGTTGAGTGCTTCCTTGACCTTCACCTGCTCCTTGGTGAGCTCGCCCAGTTTCTCATCCTTCATCTTCTCGGAGTGCTTGTAGAATTTCTGATTAAGCTTGTACTGACCCCACAAGCACTCATGCTTCTCCTTCAAGTCCCTCAACTCCTGGTCCACTCTAGCTAATAGCTTGCTGGTGTGGACTTTAGTGCGAGTCCGCCTGCGCACTAACTCGATGTAAGATCCCGGCTGGAGTGGGTCGGCGTATTTATCGACCTTGCGATCCAAGTACCGCAGCAACGGAATCACCTGCTCAGAGAGCGCCGCCGCCGGCGCTCCAACAATTTCCTCCTCCTCCTCCTCGGTGTCTTCTGCTCCTGACATTTCTTCCGTGGAGCCTCCGTCGTCATCATCCGAGTGGAGAATTTCAGTCGCCATTGATTGCGTCGGCGACTGCCCTGAGTGGGGCTGCACGTCCTCGACGTGTGCTGCCTGCGAAGGCGCGGCTGCAGCCTCGCTGCTCGTCGCCAAAATGTCTAAGGCGGAAGGCGAATGTACCCGAGCGGCATCCCCGTCGCTCGCTTGTTGATTGCCTACCGCGTTCTCTCTGTCGCCGTCGTCCGTCGCCGAAGGCGATTGAGCGGAGGGTGGCTGCGCGGGGTTTGATTGCGCATCGCGCATCGAGATTTCATCCCGCGGACAGTCACTCCGCTCCTCCGTCTGCTGCTCCCTTGATCGGTCCGTGGGGGCTGTGCCCGGCCCGTGCGCAGGCGCATTTGCCGGCGCCTTGTCCGCCGCAGGCGTAGCGCCGCGGACATCTATCGCCGAAGGCGACATGGCCGGGGGCCGCACGCCCGATGTTCCTTGGCCTATAGGCCCTACCGCCGAAGGCGCATCTATCGGCGGACTTCCCGCCGATGGTGCGGCCTCCGCACGCTCTCTGCTCGTATCTCCTCGGCTCGAAGGCCCTGGCGCCGAAGGCGCAAATTGCGGCGCGTGGTGCGCCGGAGGGTCTGGCCCCGAGGGCCGGTGTCTCGTAGGCGGTTCTTCCGCCGGCTCCTTCCCCTTCCTACGTTGGAACGGGGGTGATTCTTGCCTGTGCACAGGCGACCTGTGCACAGGTGAG